TAGAACTGCAGATCGTTACTCCTATAACATGCGGTTTTGCTGGTTTATAATCTGACCAGCATATCTCTCTGGTGAGTTCAGTTACGCTATTATGTGGTGGAAGAGCACTTTATTAGTGACATCAGAAAGGTGCAATAAATATAGAACAGCACTTGGATTGGTGGATGGTTTTACATACGGACACAATTTATTGCTGGACTTTTTAATACACACGAACGGTATTTGCACTTTTTGCATATGCCTGCACTGGACTTTTTAAAATTAAGCTAGTGTACAGTGTATAATCCTCCTGCGCTCTATGGGATAACTATAACAACAAGCTGCTAGCACTCCAAACTGATACCGTATACAGTAAGCTGAAATAAACATCTTATAGTGCAGCGCTACTAGAATTCAAATTACTTTTATAATATTCTAATACTCGATAATAGTAGTATGGCTGCTGACTGAGACTTTACATTTGGATCGGTATTTCTAAGTCATTTCATACTAGCAATGGAGATTATCCATAGTCACATTGTGGGGAACTGCTGGACTCCAATAAAATGGCCGCAGGCAGGCAATTAGGAAGACAAAGTAAATCCAGCTGATAATTGGCAATTAGATTCCCTATATTTATTTTTTTTTTTTTAATTTAAATATTTATTCATTTTCAAACAAACCAATACAAAAAAAAGTTTCATGATAGAAAATACAACATACCAAAATCTCATACAACCCTTATTTCGTAGCTTTTTCTCCCCCTAGTCCCCTTTCTTTTTTTTTTTTTTTTTTTTTCAACCCACCCTCCACCCCCTCCCAGTTCTTTAAACCCATGACATCTATCTGATCGACTTGTATCTCACATCCTATGGATACAAAGAATTGGAAGATAGAATGACAAATTACTATATTTTCTCCTTTTTCTTTCCCCTTTCTTTGCTCTTACTTATTCAGTACCTTCTTTTACCTTTACCTTAAATTCCTCCCATTTCATACAATATGCTCCTATCCTCCTGCATATAATAAGGTTTTTCCAATCTCGTGATCTGGTCGACTATTTATCCAGTCCTCTACTCTCGGTGCCTCAACTTTGCGCCAAAACCTGGGGATCAAACTTTTTGCTGCATTTAGATAACTCCCTATACCCAATTCTCTATATTTATTCTCAGATATTGAGTTATGAAAAAGACAGGTTTCAGGGTCCAGTCCGATCTCTGTTCCAATAATGATCCTAATTTGATTTATAACTTTTTTCCAATATACTTGTATTTTTAAACAATCCCACCATATGTGATACATCGTGCCCAACCCTCCACATCCTCGCCAACACCAAGGTTGATTTCCCCCACTCATCTTGTGCTCAATCATCGGGTGTGACATACCACCTTGTCAGACATTTGAAATTCATTTCCACCTCACGCATGCTTATATTTTTGTGTACCCTTTTATATATTTTTTCTGTGTGTGCTCTTCCCATTCCACTCCTAAATCCCTTTCCCATTTTCCTATGTACTTTAGTTTTGACTTACTATCTAAATCAGTGAGTGCTTTATATGCTTTGGCAGTGCTGTGTTTCCCATCCCCTCGTGCTTCTAAGTATTTCTCAAATACGTTCCAGTCTTTCCTAGTTCTAAGGGGCTTAGTCAGTTTCTCCACAAATTGTTTCAGTTGATTATATCTCCCATATCTATCGTAGTGAAAATCTTTCCCTCTTCCCTTTTCAATTCTTCCAATGTTCTTAATTTTACCCCCTCCATTATATCTCTCAACTGGGCGTCTTCCTTTTTAATCCATCTGCCTGTGATTTCCTCTTTACCTGGGGGAAAAAACTCTGAGTTTCTTAGTCGCATTAGCAAGGAATTAAAATCCCATTTCCTCTGTTTGTGCATTTTATCCCACTCCCTTATTACAATCCTCGTGTATATACTCGTGTTCTCCCCTAATTCTCTAAACTGTGCTGGCACCCACACACTCCCACTCAAATCTTTTCTACTAAGTGTATTTTCTATTGTGACCCAATGTTTACTCTTTGAGTTATGCATCCAATCAAAAATTCTTGCTAAAATAACTGCTCTGTGATATCTTTTAAAATCTGGTACTCCCAACCCCCCTTTTTCTTTATTTTTACTTAGCACTTCATATGATATCCTAGGTTTTTTATTTTTCCATATATATTGTTATCATTCGCTTAATTGTTCTAAAGTACACCTCTGGGAGATTAATGGGAGATTCCCTATATTTATTAATGAGCTGAGCACCAATGGCGATATCCTGACGAAGTCACGTGTTAGTGACGCAACGCGTAGATACGCCGTGACGCAGCTTCCGGTTAGCGGTGACGTACATTCAGTACGGCCGCCATCTTAGTACACCTGGATGAGCTTTAAACCCATGCAGTACACCGATGCATGAGGTCTGCCAGTGTTGTGAACTGGAAAAATATGCTACTAAATGTGAGTGGGCATTTTTTTTTTTTCTTATTAAAAGTTGATGACTTACTAAGAAATACACTATGAGGATTTTCTTTTTTCACCCATCATGGTCCTTGATGAGGGGTGTATGTAGTTGATGTCATTGCCCAGTGAATCCTGATTACATACCCACCTGTTGAGGGGTCCACGGAAGGACCACTGAGGATATCCATTGATATTGGAGTAAGAGCCTTTTGTGATCTTGTGATATGTTTTAAAAAAAGCAAAAACAAATATAAAAAATAAAATAAAAATTACAAAATTTTTTTTGAAAAATTATAATTTTTGGTTATAAACTAATTTGGGTTATTTTTTTTTTTACTAAAAAGTAACCGAATAAATTTTGCCCAGGATTTATGAAGAAAGATTATTTATTTGCAAAATTTTATATGAAAAACATTGTTTTTCAACCTTTTTGGACTTTCATTTATATAGCAAAAAAATCCCAGTGGTGAATAAATACCACCAAAATAAAGTTTTATCTGTCTCAAAAAAATGCTAAAAAATTCATATGGGTACAGTGTTGCATAACCGCGCAATTGTCATTCAAAGTGTGATAGCACTGAAAGCTGAAAACTGGGCTGGACAGGAAGGGGGTAAAAGTGTCTGGACTTGAAGTGGTTACAGTACATTTTTGAGATAATTTAACCTTTTCTTGTCCATTACGGGACACAAATTCAGATGTACTTGGGTTATACTGTCATCTACAGGATGTTCGGACACTAGCAGGGCTCGTTGACACCAGAACACAATGCGTGTTTTCCGTACTGCGTTCAAAATGCACTGGCTGTGTGATCTGCTGCGGGCATCAATGTAATCCTAACTACACCCCAAACGCAGATCACAAATGCAGTTTACCTATACGGGATCGTGTGGTACTGCAGTACCATGTGATCTGGTGCGGTTCATCTACTACTCCTGGTGATTTCCAGTGTGATTCAAAAGAATGGGCTGAAAATCGCACCAAACTGAGTCGTACAGGAACATGTTCTTGAACTGGCCTGCAAAGAGAAAAATTGTAAGCTAGCCCTCGTATAACCCCTCTTTTATCCAGCATGTCATACATTACACAGGGTCCTTGATCTCTAACCCTAGGTTATATGCAGCAGTTGATTGGACACTGCCAAAAAAAAGGAAAAAGTTAGCTCCAGGGTCATTCCCTGTATTTTTATTTCCGTCAGTGCTGACTGTAGATCCGTCGTAGGCTGAAGCCTAAATTATAGGCACTCCCTGTAGGAGGGTACAGCCTGCACTGAAGCCACCACCCCTCTCCCTCTCTCTATTTCTCACTGGGTCCCACTCCCCATTCCCCCAACAGGGCATGTCACTGACTGCAGGAGAACGTAGCATGCGCACAGCTCCCTGATGGGGTACAGGGGAGACACACAACTACATAGACTATTGCAGAAGCTGGTATGAAGAGAAGAAAATGAATGGAGCAGAAGGGAATGCTTCCTGCTAATCTAAGCAAAAGTTGCTGTGATCCATTCAACTGCTAGTGCACTCATAATAGTGACAGATATGTCAGTGCTGGTTCAGCTGTATGATTTATCTGTCTGAAATCTAAAAATTGCTCTAGTCATACCAGGATTCCCATACATATCTGTTTTAGGAGCAGCCCCAGGATTTTATAAGTGTCAGTATAGAATTCTGTCACATTATCAGTTTCACTTGGATAGTGTTTTATATCTGGCAATATCCTGAACATGTCAGCGGTCTTAAAATTGACCTAGACCAAAATAGTATTTTTTTTTTTTTCGTGTTATATTTTACTCCTTGTACCAGGGGCGGACTGACAACTCATGGGGCCCCCGGGCAATAGGGGATCATGGGGCCCCTGTGTCCTTGCCCAAACTCAAAAAAGCCTATGAAAAAGGTACCAGGGGCATCTCATGGGGCCCTCTACTGACTCCAGGCCCTTGAGCAGTGCCAGAGTTTCCATATGGTCAGTCCACCTGCCCCTGCCTTGTACATACTTTATGCTGGCAGACATAGCAAAAAAGGTTGACAGAACTTCTAACCCTTACACAGTTTCGGCCAGCGTTTGGATTTAAAAATGTACTAGCACAAATCCCTCAAGTCACTTCATGTTGTACTGGCCAAATCATCTTGCTTGAAGTGACTTAGACAAAGTGATCCTTTTTGACTTCATTGAGGAGCTTTTCTATATGATGTGAAGAAGGAGGGCTACTTGTACAGTCACTCTGAAATCTTAACATTTCAAACAACCAAGCAGAAAAAGATTCCATTCATCAAATGGTATAGATTAGGTCAGTCACACAGAAGATAAAGAAGTTCAAGTATATTTTATTTGAGGTGGGAGATGTACCACAATACATTATTGCCAAAAGTTCATCAGTACAAAATGTTTTGCAGCTGGCAAAAAAAGCATAATTGATCTTCTTTTGACATCACTATAAATTACTTGTACAGTACTCAGTAAATTCCGAACTTCAACTCATTTTTTTCTTGTAGCTAAAATTGAGCCAGTATTAGAAATTCCTGAAGAAGGTAAGGCATGGGTTGTAAGAGGAGGTAGCTGGTGAATCAAGGGATTTCCATTTCTCTCTCAATACCCACATATTTCAGAGCATCAGCTTGACTATATCTAAAACAAAAACAAAAGACAAATTGAATTTAAAATGTTAAGAAAGCATACATGCTAAAACTCTGTACTTGAGATGAGTGCAACTAAGGTAAGGTAACTCCAAAATTCCTTCCACACAGTTGCTGCAGAAATCAGGAAGATTTCCTAGGCCTACCAGCCTGAATCTCAGTTTTCCAGCTAACGAGTCTGAATGAGAAACAGACGTGCTCAGTTTCAGTAAGGCTGGCCATACATTATACAATTTTCTTGAGACTTTTGGTTTAGATTTACCAAAACCCATATAATAGGAGGTCAAAACTAATAACACTTTCAATTGTATCCAATTAGGCAGGCTCTTGCACTACATAGTTGAAGGTAAATCTAAAGGAAATTGGGCAGAAAACTGTAAGAAAATTGTATAGTGTATGGCCAGCCTATGTTTTTATTCTAATGATCGTAAGATCAAAATGCAATTACTAAAAATCATCCATTATTTACAATTACAGTCATAATGAAATCCTTCCTTCAGGGGTTCAAAAATTAATGGGCTCTGTATGTATTTTTTTTTTTTTTTTTTACATAGAACCACAATCTGGTGAAAATGTACAATGTGCACAAACAATTTCTGTAGTCTCAGGTGATTAGGATATTCATGGGAGACCAACAACCCACCCAAGTACACCAGCAGTGGCTGTTCAACGGTCCACAATCCTGGTCTGGACTATACCATCAGTGAGGGGTGTACCCATGCAGCGCAAGAGTAAAAGAAAGGTAGTTTATGTACCCGTGGTGCTCTGAATTAGAGTAAACCTGATGCTTTGCCCTGCATGCGCAAACTACAGACTCACGTTAGAGAAAGGTGAATCATCATCATCAATCACTGGTTGATGGTTTTTCTCTAAGATTAAAGAGTACACAATGTTTCCATTACAGTAGTTTTAATATGTCTGCAGTTACAGAATGTTTTTTTGTTTACAAAAAAGTAACCGTTTTAGCTATTCCCCAAACACCATACATACCTATAGTCAAAGAAGAGTTCTTCACCTGTCTGGATGGCTCTTTTTGCAAAAATTCCTATTCTGTGGTCACCGTTCACCATCATTACTGAAACAGAAAATAAAAGATCTTCGATCAGGCAAACCACTTGTATTTGTCAGCGCACATTTCTTTGGTTCTACATTGTAACTGTACATTATGCCCGTGCAGGCCAAATTCACAAAACGTAGCTGACTGACATAGGATGGCTCTCAGGAGCTAGAAAGCCTGCAGGTAAAGTCATTAGAGGGCAGGAATTTATTTCTTGTAAATATACATCGAGCAATTTGACGCTGCTTGTACATTATTCCATGCTTACTCTATATACCATTTCCATTACTGTACGTTACAAAGGCATATAATCTCCCTCTCTAGAGGCTACACTGCAATCACTTGACCTTCCCGTGCCAAAACTGCTGTGATATGATCTCAGCCAGAGGCTATGGCTTCTATTCAGACCTATCTAGAAGACTTGAATTTACAGTGAAAAATAAGGCACTGTAACTACTGTACAGTAATACTATGCAAGATGAACAGCCAGTCATATCATTAACCACTTGATTGTGGAAGGTTTTACCCCTTCCATGACTGGGGAATCTTTTGCTATTCAGCACCGCTACTTTAACTAGCAACTGCACAGTCATGCAACACTACCCAAATAAATTTATCATTTTTGACCAGCACTGGGTTTTTTATTATATAAAATGAAAAGAGCCTGAACATTTTGAGAAAAAAAAAAAATCTATATAAAAAAAATAAAATAAATTTTATTTTTCAAAGATGTTCAGTCTTTTTTTTCTACTTGTAATGTGCACATACATAGGCCCTTCAACACCAACACACTTTACCACATACCTTTTGCATAGCAGTTTGGATTCACAGAATGGTTCGCAAAGCGAATTTTGTTTCCTTTGCGGGTTGCATCAACTACAAAATCTAAGAGAGAGACAAATGGTTATGAAGAATGCACAGGTACATTGCTGACAATTCCACATAAATAAAGTGATTCTAAAGGCTCAAGGTTTATTAAAAAGCCTTCTGGGTGCAACTCCTCCCCCATCCCGCCTTATACTTACCTGAGCCCCATCTCAATCTAGCGATGTGCATGGCAGCAGTGGTTCTCTGGGGTCTCTCTCTCCTCATTGGCTCAAGCTGTGCCAATCACAGCCAGTGAGGAGAGAGAGGGGATGGGGACGAGCCACCCTCCATAAGTGGACACACACAGTGTGGCTCAGGAGCAAGCCAGCTCGAGTGCCCCCATAGCAAAAGGCAGGGGTGGTGGGGTCGGGGGGACAGAGGGGAAGGGCAGGGAGAGCCAGGGGAGCCAAAAAAGAAGAGTATAAGGGCTGCTCTGTGCAAAACCCTTGCACAGAGCAGGCAGCTATAACTTGCTATTTTTTTTTTAATCTTTACTTAACAATCCCTTTAAGATATATATATCAGAGGTTGCTTTGTGACCCACTGGCCAAGTTACTAAGTCTCCAATAGATATATTGAGTCCAAGAGATGGATGTGAGTAGTGAATCTCTGCAGTATGCTGCTGTGCACTAAATATGTAATTTATACAGCTTGTCTGAGCTTCCAGAAAGTATGGGGACCTGGAGCCTTAGTTGCAGAGCTCATGGAGGAGAGCTGAGAGCTGATTGGAGGAAAAGGACACCCCACCTCATACAGCACACGGTAACAGAGCTGAGACTGTTAATCACAGGCTGTGTGCTGGCGCTCCCGCCCGTCACCTCTTGCTGTCAGGAAAATTTGTCAGAAGTGACTCATGCAGATCTCTTGATTGAGACAAGTACACACTATAGAAGAATATGCTCTTCTTATTTCATGTTAGAGGTTTACAACCGCTGTAGGAGAACAAGGTAATAGATATAGTGTTTTTTGTTTTGTTTTTTTTTTTATAAGGAGAAACATAGCTTTCCTTTTGTCATGTTGCCTTGCTAAAATGATTCCCCCCCCCCCCCCCCCACAATTCTTGGACAATAAAGCATATTTTGACCAGTGTTCGTTTAAAAACAAATAGTGAATTTTGTTTTATAATCTTTTCCTTTTAAAATGACACATTATGAATCTGACACAAAGCATTGCAAAAGTTATTTACAAATTTTTTAAATGAAATGTGTCAATACAGGTTAAATGTGTAAAGATATCATAAACAAAACAAACAAAAAAGTTTAAATATTAATGGTTAATGAAATAGAAACGAAACAAAAAGCAAAAAAAAAAAAAAACCAAAACAAAAAAAAACAAAAATCAGGAAAATATTAATTGAATGGAGACGAATAAGAAGTTTAATTAGGGATGATCAGAGTAAACCAAGGGGTTACACAGAAAAACATTTTATTAAAAATTATTATATTTTTTTTTTTTTTTTTAACTTGCCAGGTTTCTTTAGACATCACCTGCATATTGGAAGTTAATTCCTTTGATCTGCATATGAATGAACTGAATGATACAAAAGTAACAATGCTACTTTGAAACTGTCTATTTTGTGACAAAACAGTGTTGTTGATAACCACTGCTCAGACTGCTTCTTTTTTTTTTTCTCTTTACAGCGAAAGCTGTTCTGTGTACACATCAACGCCAGCTTTGCATAATCCAGAGTTCAGAATTGCTGTGTACTGGGAAGGAGAGTCCCAGCAGCATGGCAGAAAGACTGGATATGTGTAGCTATGTACTATGTAGTTGTGTACTATGATGATGTTTTTTGGGCATCTGCAGCACTGCCAAAGTCTTGAACTACTTAAAGGAAAGAGCAAGTCACATCATACAGCACTTGTTTCTAAAGAAGAACTAACTATGCCAATTATTTCTCTACTGTAGGCAGCTCATTTCTAACAGCATGCTGTCCTAGCAAGCTAAATGCTCACATGATACCAGAATTTACATACTAACACCGTTTTGTCAAACCAGGTTGGGCATTTTTATTTGTATTCTATATACTGCCATATTCTGAACCAATCACACTTTTGCTATTTTGTGGTGGTGGTAGTTGTGGGGGTGGTGGTGGGGTTGTAGAAAATCCAGCTAGAGCCTACAACAATGCTAAGTGGGTAAGCATCGCTCCACAATTTGGCAGCTTAGAAGGTCTTGTCAAGCTTACCATTATTCAAGTTGAAGAGAAAGCTGCACATGTATTTGTCATATACTTTGCCTCTTCGGTCTGCTTCATCCTGAGATATGATCTGTGGAATAAAGCATATAGACATGAACACATCATTTCTATTTCAGTTCTGTGGGAGTGATGCACTTAGCTAGCCCAAATGGTACTAAAACACCTTTAATACGGATTTTTAAAAAGAAAAATATCCAAATGTTCCCACTATACACTATTTGTGTTATCTAGAACAGTAATCCCTTGCCTGGTTGAAGATCGGCAGAGTCTTACACTGCATTATACCAATCATAACTTACCTGGATTTCACAAGGTAATAGAATAATTCAATAATACATAGAACCCCTGATCCCTTCCACATTTCGAGCTCGGTATTCTACTCACTGATACATAAATAATTTATTTGCAAGTGCATGGCAAAACCTGCATGTGTGCAAATACTGGGTACCCCCGGCGCTTGTGCAGATGTGCTGCAGGGCCCTCAGGTTCACAGCCCTGGTGGTAAAGTCTTGCCTAGGTGAGCAGAGCAGAAGCGCTGCCTTGCAGCACAAATAAATGCTTAAAGTGGTAGTAAACTCTTTATTATAATCTTACCTGTAGGTAAAATTATTAATGAAGCTTACCTATAGATAAAATTAATATCTCCTAAATGTGAACCATTTACGAGATATTAGCCCTTTTTGATATTTGGTGCATGTCCTCTGAAGGCACTGCATGGGTATGCCATTCCTTCAGAGCACTGTGCCTTGGTTCGGGACTCCCTCACGCATGCACAGGAGTGACGTCATCGTGGCTCGGCCAGTCAGCCAGCCAGAGCTCACAAACCCGGAAGGAAGAGCGGGTGAAGACGGAAGCCGTGACAGCGCTCTGTTGGAGGGCTTTGTTTCAAGGTAAGTCCTTCATAATGTGCTAGTATATGATACATACTAGCACATTATGTCTTTACCCTGCAGAGGTTTTTTTTTTTGTTCCATGCGGTTTACTACCGCTTTAAATGAAAAACAAAAAAAAAATAGAACTTGAATTGCAGGAGAAAGGGAGGGGGGGGGGGGGGGGAGGCAGGGGAGGACAACTTCACAATTAGGGTGAAGGTCCGCTTTAAGCAGTGCATACAAAAGCAAAGCTGAAGATTTCAATCTCACTCAGCTGGCTTTACATTTTTCCACTTTGTCTACTTCTATAATAGCATCAAGTCTGCACATTGCACTCACTAAGGGCCTAATATTGAGTAGCTTTACCTCCTAGCAACCAATGAGCTCTCTCTTTCACCTTTCTTAGTAGAAAATGTCAGAACAAGTGATTTGTTGCCAAGAAGAATTATAAGCTCTTTTAGACCTTTATTTCACACATAATATAGGAATCTAATATATGAATAAAGCAGTGTAGAAGCACTCCACCAAGAGGAGCAAGCTCCTGACCCACAGCTATTGTACAGTTCGGTATCTGTAGGGAAGAGAATACATAGCATTTTGAGCACATCATCTTCATTTATGCCCAAGCCTAAAAAAAAAAAATATAATTCTATCTGCTATTCAGCTCTATTCACAATGTACAGAGATGAAAAAGTCAGAGGTGGACACACTTTCCTGCCTGCTCATACAAAGCCAGATGGGGGGTTTTTTTTTTTGTGTCAAGAGAGCCCGAAAGCAAGCGAAAAGATAGTGATTGGATGTATTGGAGAGCATAAAATGAAGCTCGACAACAAGTAGTTTTAAGTGAGATGAGATTTCCAAAAATACAGCAGCCTAAGGGCTCGCTCACACTTGACTGTTTTCCAACTCTTGTCAAACGCCCCTATAGCATTTGACAAGCGTTGGTCCAGCGCTTGCATAGCGTTTTTAAACGCTCCGCAAATGCCACATGTGCGCTTTAGCGGCGTTTGCCGAGCGTTAAAAACGCCCCACAAATGCCTATAATGAAGTTTGAATGGTGTTAACACTCCGCAAACACCGGCCGGGCGTTTGCGGAGCGGCACCATTGACTTGAATAGGAGGCTTCAACTCCTCCTGACTCAACCAGAGGCGTCCGTTTTGCCGCGATGCTAACGTTCCCATGTGAACAGCACCATGTGCTGCAATGTGCAGAATTTTCACAGGCGTTTGGGAAACGGTAAAAACACTTCCCAAACGCCTGTCTGCCGCTTGCAAACAAGGGTAGTGTGAACACAGCCTAAGTGTTCTGAGCACACCTGTTTTTAACATGTGTGTGTAAAATGAAAGCATAACTAAATGCAAGGCAACTAAAGTGGGGAGGGATTAGAACCCCTGTCAGTTTTTATTGCTCTCTGTGCCTCCGTTAAGGAGATTCACCCTATTTGTCCTGTTTACCATTATCATTGAAATTGACAGTAAAAAACAAAAACCCCAAATTTTGTGTTATCCCCAGAAAAATAATAAGAGGGGAAATCTTTCAATGGGGACACAAGCTCTGGTGACCTGGAGGGTCCCCAAGGAATTCCCTTAATTTCAAGATTTTTCTCTCACTTCCTGTTTGGCTATGGGACAGAAAGTGAAGGGAAATCTCTGCAATGGGACACAGATGGCGAAAAAAAAAATCTGACAGGTTATAACCCTCCCTTACGCTATCCAAAATGGGGAAAAAAAAAAAGTTTTGCTTATAATTCTACTTTATTTCAAATAGTTTTTATTAATTTTAAACAGGTACAGTTACAGGTGGGGGGACAACAAAAGGAAAGGAGTAAACAGGTTCATAGTCATACAAGTTCCAATTGATGCTTAGTAATGTCAACAGGATAACATACTAAAAGGGTGAATTGCTAGGCATTATACATAGTTTGAAGTCACGTGTCCATAGACTGAGGAACCTGAGTTAAAGGGGAAGGGTAGGGGAAGCCAGAGGGTAAAAAGGTGAACAGTATACCGGTCAGAAACAAACACGTACTCCAAATTGGGTGGGCTATCATATAGTTCTACTTTAAAACATTATACGATTAATTAAACAAGGGTGAAAAAAAGGAGTCTATACATTTTTAAATATTCAAAATGAATGGTGACAAAAAAAAAAAACTATTACTGTTTTGCTTTCATCTACTTCATATTGATGGCAAAAGAGAAGTTTAGCAGGCAAAGCAGCCCTGTAGTAGAAAAAGACAAGTTTATCTCCTGACACATAAAAGGTTGTTAGATTTTTTAGAAGAGGGGTGGGTAACAGCAGCCCTCCAGCTGTTGCAGAACTACAAGTTCCATCATGTCTCTGCAAGTCATGCTTGGAACTGTCATTCTGACATTGCCTCATGGGACATGTAGTCCAACAACAGTTGGAGGGCCGCAGTCGCCCACCCCTGCTCCAAATAGATTTAATCGCAAATAAGGCTTGAGCCTCTATACCGTACCTACTTAGGCCCATTTTGGTATGATTTTGCATTCATCTAATGATAATGCCATTGTGCAGTATACAAAAATCTGCGCTGCCCAAAGCAGCCGATCAGCTATTGGATGAAGAAAGCATTAAAGTGGTGGTAAAGACTGATGGTTTTTTTCCTTCACGCATTCTATGCATGAAGATAAAAATCTTGTGCCCCCAACCCCCTCAATACTTACCTGAGGCTCATCGCGATCCAGCAATGTGAATGACAGTCTCTGCTTGCTGTGGGGGCACCTGACAGACAGGGAGGAGCCAAGAAAGACAGCGGGGGACCCAAGAAGAGGAGGATCCAGACTGCTCTGTGCAAAACCACGGCACACAGTAGGTAAGTATAGACATGTTTGTTTTACAAAAAAAAATTAACCTTTAGAATCGCTTTAAAGTGGCTGATAAGGGTAACACAGGCAAGTCGCATTCCAGAAACATGCAACAAGATCTAAACAACTTACATCCCGTATGTGTACATGTAGTTGTGCATATGATCTTGGCTTACCTCTCCACAGTATTCAGAGATGAACTCATTCTTCTGCACAGGGTCTTTGATGAAGATTCCCCATCCAGCTACATCAGAGGGAGCCAGAAGCAAATGCTAAGAAAGTAGAGAAGTCTCTTGTTTATACAGGTTAGCGTTTACATTTTAATGCATAGATTTACATACATGGGAGAGGGGATGCTTTATGGAACATTACAGCTGCTAATGCAACACATTACATTGCAGGTCACAGAGTCACCATCATATAAAGGAAAGCAGCTCGCAGTAGCAAGACAGACAATCAAATATATGAAAATGGCAAGCATAAGCAGCAGAACCACAAAACTGCACCTGTTGCAAGGCTCACATTCAATGGCATTACCCTTCTTTCTAAGCCAGGAAAATAATGGAGTTCATGAATAGAAGGTTAATGAGACTTGTTGTTCTTACATGATTATGTCCCAAGACACTTGTAAAAATAATGTTTTGAAATGGCCAGCTCACTTTCTGCAATGTTCCTAATGCCAAGGCAGCCATACCGCCCAATCACGTGCATCTATTGCAAAAATTCAAAAGGCCTTACCTACCACTGGGCCCCTTTGCCAAAGGGGATGAAATAAGGCTTCAGGACCAAGTGTTATAGGAAGAGGGGAGGCAAGCACAGACAGGGTATTTGTTACATGCCTCTAACCCACAAACATGGCAATATTACTGTCAAAACTGGACCAAATAATGGAGAATCAGAACTAGTCAGTCCAATCCATGAGTTGAAGGAACATTTACTTGGAATCTCTCAGGACAGAAATGTGTGTTTTCCTCCACAGATTTGTTTTTAAAATGTGCAAACTCCCAGTGTGTCATCATCCTTATGCTTGCTTTACTGTTTAGTTAGAGGCTGACCCATAAAAGGACTGCAGGTCAGGTATCCGAACGTGACTAAGAGGTGTGTTCCAGGTCAGTAATGTACAAAGAAGTGTGACAAGGATAATCATTTCAACCCCAAAACTTCAATTCTAAAACACAAAGTCAGCAGCAACTTCTACTTTTCTATACTGGTGGGTTCTCTTTAGGGCACATTGACACCAGTGTGTTGTGGAATTGCTTGTTACCCAAACATTTTCAAAGGCTATATTATTGTGAGACACTTCTGGAAATTGTAACAGTGAATGGTCAATGCATAGCCAATATAGGTTAGATTTGTGAACTGCAGAACAGATCAGATTTTTCAGTACTTTTTTGTCTCCAAATATCTACAGTACATGAGAGGAGGAATTCTGACACTTTACTCTCATTTACAGCATGTTTGTTCTGAGTCTATGATTTAAACGTATCAATCAGGCACAGCAAACCAACTAGCATTCTCAGAAGGAGGCAAGCCATGGCAGTCCCTTTACCTTTCTCATGACGGTGTACTTTAACACCTCAGTCACATCGGGTGTGACTTGGCATGTGATTTGCATGCCATGCAACTTGCAAATCGTATGCCATGTTGCACCCTATTGCCAATTAGAGCAGTCAAATCGGTGCGGGTCCAACTTGGTCGAAGCCGCACCGATTTCTAAAGTAGCACATGTACTACTTTAGGTGCGATTTGCATAGACATCTATGTCAGATGTCTTGCAAATTGCACCTGAAATTGGCATCTCACCCGACTTTGAAATTGTGCGACTTCACTGTAAGTCGCACGATTTCAAAGTTGGGATTGATGTGACTGGGGGGTTAGGGCCTCACTATTTTCCTAAGATTTCTTATTTGAACCATTTACCACACTACTGGAAGAGATTGATTACAGATGCCAGATACTTTTCAGCCTATTTTTTCTCAGAAGATATGAAATTTTGTAAGGCACTCTAACTGGTGTTTGATCAGAATTAAGTTTGCCATTTTAAACCTGTGCTTACAGACAGCTGCCACAGTAGACTATGCCTTGTTACATAGTGGGTATAGAAAATAAATCAACCCTTTAAAGTAAACACAGTTGCTTTGCAGCCTGCTATACAGACAGTTTTTTTTTTTCCAGCTGTATTTAATTCATAACATCAAAGTGAAAGATATAACACCAATATGTCAGAAAAAAATTAAATAAAAAGTAAAAAACAGAATCACTGAGTTGGAAAAAAAGATCGCCCCTGCTAAAAATGATTTGTAAACTAAATCGGTGTAGCTAATCACCTTCTCAATGGTACACAAAGCCATTTGACTTTCAGATCTGATCACCTGTGGTCATTTTGAATAGCTCAGCATGAAAAGAGCTTTCCTGGAGCATTTCAGTCCCTAGTAGTGCAACTGAAGCAAACAATCCTCAACACTAAATGATATGTCTTTCAGAAATCCAATACAGATCACCATCCAAAAAAAAAATACCATTCCTACATTGGACAACATTCCTACACTGGACTGGAGCACTTGTTAGGATAGAAGGAAAAACAGATGGGGCAAAATACCATCAAATTCTTGAGGAAAATCTGCTGCCCTCTGTCAGAAAGTTGTTAATGGGAAGAAGGCTTACCTTCCAACATGACAATGACCCAAAGCACACAGCAAAAATGACCACACAGTGGTTGAAGGAGAAAGAGGTGAATGTCCTTGCAAAGACAAGTAGAAAAAGGCACCACTGAATGTAGACTGTAAAATGGTTATTCACAATAGATAACATAAATTGCACTCACATGATAGATGACTGATAACAAGCACATCAGGTAGTTTTGGATCCAGGACTGGTAACAAGCCACTGTGTGGATAAAACCTCTATTCTCTGCGTTCAAGGCCAGATTCAGGTGGACAGGGTCAAGCTTGACAAAGAAGCGTGCCCCCACCGTGGTGCACATGCTCAGAAATGCCATCACATCACTTCTGGTGACGCAGACATGCCCAACACAGCATTGCATTCCATCTCAGCCCCAGCTCCTGTTCCAGTCCCCTGTCCACCTGCAGCCGGCCCCGAACGCAGAGAATACAGGGTTTATCCGCACAGTGGCTTGTTACCAGTCCCGGATCCGAAACTAACCTGATGTGCTTGTTATCAGTCAACTTTCCCGGCGGATCTCACAGGTATGGAACATACCTGTGTGAGCAGCACAGTGGCTATGGGCAGCACAGCGGCTAAATGGTTAGCACTTCCGCCTGGCAGTACTAGGGTCATTGGTTCAAATCCCAGCCACGGCACCACCTGCCTGGAGTTTGCATGTTCTCCCTGTGCCTGCGTGGGTTTCCTCTGGGTACTCCGGTTTCCCCCCACATTCCAAAGATATGCTGGTAGGTTAATTGGATCCGGTCTAAATTGTCCCTAGTATGTGTATGTATGAATGTGAGTTAGGGACCTTAGATTGTATGCCCCTTGAGGGTCAGGGACTGATGTGAATGTACAAGATATATATATGTGTGTGTAAAGCGCCACGTAAATTGACGGCGCTATACAAGTACCTGAAATAAATAACAATAAATAAACTATCAAATGAGTACAATTTAGGTTGCCTATTGTGAATAAGCATTTTACAGTCTACACTCAGTGGTGCCATTTTCTACTTGTCTTTGCATGGAGTTTTTTTGGATTGCTTCCTGCTTATCCTAGAAGGCCTGCCTTGAAGTGTGACCTGATTGATGCCCTAAGGAAATCCTATTTGACTTATCCAAGAAGCCTGTTTTTTCCAAATGATGACCTCTAGGGAACACTGGACCTGTGCCAACACATTTCCTGTGTATGGAAGGTCCTTGCATAGCCTAGTCAGAGAACAGACTTAAACTCCATTGAAAATCTGTGGAATGACTTGAAGACTGCAGTCCACAAACGGTCACCATCAAATTTAACTGAACTTGAGTTGGTTAAATATTAGAAACATATCCCAAGAGACTAAAGGTTGTAATTAAAGCAAAAGGTGGTTCAACAAAATACTGACAAGGGGGTATTAACAATGTAACCTTTTTCCAACTCAGTGATTTGGTTTTTGATTTTTTTTTTCTGATATGCTGATATTATATCTTTTAATTGGATGCCATAAGTTGCACTGAATAAATACAGCTGGATAAAAGAAAATCTGTCTCTTTCCATTTCAGGCTGCAAAGCAACAAAATGTGATTATTTTAAAGGGGGTTATGCTCTTCTTTACTCATTGCATTGCTAGTTGCCCGACTCTCATGTAGAGCTAATAGTTTTAGCATTTTCTGAGTAACTGAGAACTAGAAAGACTGCATACTTTCAGACATACATGGTCCTCCCTGCAGACCAGTTGTGACTCTGGAGCATGCACCACCAGAGCATCACATTCAGAGGACTGGGTATGAAGGTAGCTGCATTGGCCTGGAAACGTAAACTAAGTGAACCAGTGAAGATTTAGAGGACATTATTAGCAAGGAAAAAAAAAAAAAAGTAAATGTGCAATTATGCTTGATTAGCTAGGTTATACATTAAAAAGAACTTGTGTATGTGCACTTATTCCTTAACCACTTGCTGACTGCCTGCCCACAATTTACTGTGGGCAGCTCCATCATGTACTTGTACATTGGCAGTGTCTTTCAGGTTTAGCCCACCTTGCCGGCTCCTGCTACGACTAGACACAACAAGATTTTATCAACAGGTTTCAGCCAATGATTCATGGCTGATCAGCTGTGTGCAATCACAGCACAGAGCCCTGTGTTGACAAACACACAGGGCTCTGTACAGAGGGAACAATCTGTTTGAACCTTCTCTCTGCTTTGCATAGAGAAGAAACAAACAGATATTTAGTAAAAAGCAGCATGTATTACACATTAACACTTGTTAGGTACACACTTAACCCTTTGAGTACCCCGAGATGTTAACCCCTTCCCAGCCAGTGTCATTAGTATAGTGAAAGTGTATAGTCTTATCTCTGTTCACTGTATTAGTGTCACTGGTGATGACAGTGTCAGTTAGTGTACTTCCCAGCCAGCGTCGGTTAGTTGCAAATTGCCCACCACAATCACAGACCCCTTATAAGTCGCTGATCACCGCCATTACAAGTATAAAACATTCCAGCATATATCCCATAGTTTGTAGATGCCATAACTTTATACAAACCAATCAATATACACTTACTGGGATTTTTTTTTTTTTCACACCAAAGATATGCAGAATACATTTTGGCCTAAATTTATGAAGAAAGATTTCTTATTGGATATATCTTATAGCAGAAAGTAAAACTATTATGTTTTTCTTTCATAATGTGCCGTCGGTTTTCTTTTTTATAAAAAAATACCCAGTGGTGATTAAATACCACCAAAAGAAAGCTCTATTTGTGTGAAAAAAATTAAATAAAATGTAATTTGGGTACAGTGTTGCATGACTGCAAAATTACCAGTTAAAGTATCGCAATGCTAAATAGCAAAAAACCAGTGACCAGGCACGAGGGAGGTAAAACCTTCCGGAACTCAAGTGGTTAAATCACCTTTATCAGTATCTGAGGAAGTAAAATTAAATAATGAAGTGAAGCTTGCTTCAGATGACTGTTAGCACCTTATTGTTCTTACACTTTAACATTAAGGAAACTGTAGGATTTTTTTTTTTAAACTAAATTACTTAGTTATGTTACTCTGTATTACTGACCTTTTTGGATCCCCGCTGAATGCTGCAGTTCTTGCAAGAAACATTTTTGCTATCCCAGTGATCAGCAGCCCCACAGGTGAGACACAAGTCTGGGTCACACTCCCGCACAGCAAGATAACATGGACACTGCTTGGTGTTGCACTGGGCCTTACAGCGACATCCAGGGAACCTGTTTTGGCCTTAATAAATTGTGTACATTAGTATGGTTAAAAATGCAAAAAACAGCCCAAAAAAACTACGATATCATATACTTTCTATTTACTCTCCTCATATATTTTAGTAAAGATATAGAGAACCAGTGTGTCTATTCCATAATTTCATTTGCATCTTCATGTAACTTACACTCAGAGCTGCACTGACAGAACTTCTCACAGAAATTCTGTGCAATCACACAGGGACAGGAGCCATCACAGGGCTGGCGAGGGTGATCACAAGGCTGGTAATTGTAAACATGATTAGAGGAGCCATCTAAAGGAACAAAAACCAACAGAGAGCTGAAGCACATATGACCTGTATTAAATCATAGCTACACCACTTTTCCTCAAATATGATCTTGATCATGACATGTAAAGAAAAACACCACAATAGGGGAGGAGATCAAACAGGCAAATTGTCACAAAGTCAATAGTAAAGCTGAACTCAAGGCAACTACAAAAAAAATATAAAATAATAAACCAAACGAATGACAGATCCTATACTACTATCATGTCAGAGCCACTTTTACTGCAGAAGAGAAGAGTCAGGTCAACGTCAGGTGACATCTGGCAGGACAACGTTATACTCAATACTGGATGAAAAGTAATACAAATCCTTAGGCAGGAAAAACTGTGTATTTAGATATTCACCTGGAGTCCAGCTTTAAATGTATTACTGTAAATGATCTGCTCTAAGACCATATGTTTACTGGCCCAAAAAGATACGAAAAAAAGACGTACTTCGCAGGCGATTAATCTCATGATACAGAAGCTTGTTTAAATTTAATTTTTAGTCAACTGAATGCAGGTTTAATGTGCTTCAGTATAGATTTCACTGACAACATTATGAGTCTAAAGAATTGATCACATTAATAATATCAAATATACTACATACATACCTTTTTTTAGCTGTATTTTCCTGCAGTGTGCGGCCCACAGTCTACAAAATATATATATAGAAAAAAAAAAACTAAACTGGGTGTTTTTGTTTCCAAAAAACTGTACCCAAAACAGCCAGAGAATACATGATAAAATAACATCTTTGTTGAGGAAGAAGCAAACTATGCCCACCAAGTGAATGGCATCTATTGCAAGAATTTGTAGCAAACTGAAATGAAAGGTAATCATTGAATAAAGTAAAACATGGCTTGTGCAGTAATAATATACACTAAACTATATTTACCAAATCATTGAATAAAGTAAAATATGGCTTGTGCAGTAATGATATACACTACACTATATTTACCAAATGTGGAGTTTACATTTCCCAGGGATTTATAGGATTTAGATGATAGATCATCTGTGAGATGTAAACCTTAAGCATGTGATCCATGATTATCTCTTCCGTTCCTTCCTCTTTCCGCTCCCCTGTACAAGATCAGCTCATAGTTTGCTGATCCCCCTTCCTCCCTATCCTTTTGCTTGCTTCCCCTTGGATTCCCCAGCACTTTTTTTGTCTGCAGTTCTGACTTCATGCAATATCTGTGTGAAATATTTTAGCAGATTGAGAACATCATATTCCTGGTTAGATGAGAGTGTCTGAGAATTGCAATAGGCCACTCAGGCCCAAGCACTGCAACTTGGGAGGTTGTAACATGCTTCCCTGTACCCAGAAGGGCTATGTATTTGCAACATTTGCTACAAAGGAATAACTTTTTTTGAAGGTGTCAATTCTAAGGCTGTCATTTTGATACTCCATCCCAATTACTTAGTGACTCACAGACTGGGAACATGCACAAGACTGGTAAGTGACCTACATAATTACACCCACAAAAACAAGCAATGGCAGCTCTGATATTTCTATCCTTTTGTCCTATTATCTTTCAGGTATTGACATAAGTGGGATTTGTCCAGAGGGCTTGCTGTGCCCAAATCAGGTCAGTGGGGGTAGTTGAATGTTGGGGAGTCCTAGATTTGGCACTGAAGGCTATGGCTGGCTAAGTCCCTTTGTTGCAAAGCACAATGCTGTTTCCAGTATTAGCTTTTTTAAAGTGTTACTAAACCCAGGATTCTGCATTCACTATATCTGATCTCCCACAGTACACAGAACATGGAAGTGCAATTATTTTAGTAAATATAAACTGCTAAATACCTTTTGTCATCAGCAGTTAGAGCAGTCTTGTGAATTCAGCAGAGCACCGGTTAAAGCTTGTAGGAGTTTTCTTTCTGCTCTAGGAGGAAGTAAAACCCCTGACCTCTGTCTGGACAGTGCTGATTGGCCCTGTGCTGATCACATGCACTCGAAAACAAAAACCTCTCTAGCAATACACACCAAACTGAGCATGTGCATGTGACTAGGATTCAGCCTGTATCAGCTGGTCATTTCAACAAGAGGAGGGGCAGAGAAGAAAGGATCAAACAGCCTTTTTACACAGTGCAGAGGATTAACCCCTTAGGTTCCACAGTGAGTATAACAAGCATGCTTTACTGCTTAAACAGATTTTACTGTTGTGGGTTTAGTAACACTTTAAGGCCTAGGCTGGCCTACTGCACTTTCAAATATTTGTACTTTTTGCATATACCTGGAATAAAGTGCCAGTGAAAATGTATGAATCCAAACGGTGGTGTTTTTTTTTTCTACTGTTCTAAAAAATATTGTTGAACATTTTCATGATTTTTTTTAATCTCTTCAAATAAACAATGACGCATGCAGAAAAGATACAAATCTAAATATACCCATTCCAGGGCAGGTAACTTATCTTTCACTGGAGATCATTCTACAATGATGGGAAGTTAACCTAACTTGCAAGGAATTTAGTAACTTCAAACAATTTTCCAGAGCAGAAGTTCTCTCCTAAAGCAATCCTAACCCTCTATCAATGGTGGCGGAGTAAGCTAACAAACATATTTTTACCACTGCTATTTCTCTCTGAACACCAATTTCATTTATTAGTAACTGTGGTTTGGCAGCATCTCACTGGCCATGAACAACAGACCAAAGAGATCCCACCCACACATCACAAAACGTACCTGTGCTTCCGCTTCTTCTTCCTGGGTGGTGTGTCCACATCCTCAGCAAGGACCGGAGCTATGATACTTGACTCCTTTACTCTAAACTCATAAACCTGTAACCATTAAAAGTTGTTACTTTAGCACTAACTGCAATCAAATTAGTGTAAACCACTGATGCCAATACAAAACATTTTTAATGCTTCTCCTAAGTATGGGTTTCTAAGTAATAAATATTCATATGACTTTCCACACATTATGGGCAGCTTTGGGGACTTTCTGGGATGTGTAACAGGACTCCAGACTGAATAAAAACTAGATGGGTGTGTTTTTGTTTTAAATTCAACCTTACTTCAAATGAGAATTACCAGAAGTCAAAATTGAATGCGACTATTGAGGGTCTCAGAAATAATTGGGAACAGCAGGTCATTTATACTTAAACACACAGATTTTGAATACAGCAATGAAATGCATCTAAAGCTTATAGGGAATGCTAGGTAGTTTATATATTTTTTCTTTATTATATTATGTACCTACATTTTTTATTCGGTTTATGTTTGGCAAATATATTATATTTACTATTCCCTGCTAGCATGTGGAGCTCTAGGCCCCATTTTTACCAAGCAAACCATAACTATATTTATGGAAAAAAACCTGTTTACAAAGCTCTATGGCTGATGTTCAAATTATACACAGAGCTGGGTCACATTGGAGAGACCTCTTCTATCATCCTGTTGTGTCTTGAGTACAAGATGTCAAAAGGTAATCTCTCCAATACAGACACCAACGGCAAAAAAAAATTAATGGGGGTTATAATCTTTTCAACCCTATCCATAGCTTAAAAGCAAAAAAAAAAAAAAAAAAAGTTTTTTTTTTTACTTGTCAAGCAGCCTTAAAGTGATATTAAAGGCAATTAAAAAAAGAGGTCATACTTACTTGCTCTGTGCAGTTGTTTTGCACAGAGCAGCCCTGATCCTCCTCTTCTTGGGTCTCCCACCAGCGTTCCTGGCCCATCCCTCCTGCCGAGTGGCCCCAAAGCAGGCAAGCTTGCTATGGGGAACCCAAACAAGCTTGCTCCTGAGCAGCTGCTCTGTGTGTCTACTCACACACTAAGCTGAAGCTCAGCCATGCCCCCTCTCTCTCTTCATTGGCTCACTGGCTGTGACTGACAGCAGTGAGAGCCAATAATTCCCACTGCAGTCTCAGCCAACGAGGAGGGAGAGTCCCCGGAGAGCCTAGGCTCTCGCGCACATCGCTGGATCGTTTTTCATCCACGGAATGCATGAAAGTAAAAAACTTTGAGCCTTAACAACCACTTTAACCGACATATCACATGCAGAGTGAAGCTTGGTCTCTCTAATGAAACAGAGTAGATATAACAATAACAATGTTACTCTATATCTCTCTATTTTGAGTCAGTACAGTTTATAAACACTGTCAGAAAGTCCATATTTTTACAGCTGCTGCATTTACACAGCAACACTATGGCTGTCCTTTTGACAGAAATGAATTGCTGGCAAGTGTGAGGAGAAAAATGGGGGGGGGGGGGGGGGGGGGGGGTGCAGCTGTTGGGCAGAAGGACAGGACAGACTACACATGCCCTGTGTACCAATGCCTATAACTGGTTAAAAAAGTGTTAGACCTTGAAAGCTGCCCATCAATAAAATGCCTCAGTTTTGGTATGTGCACATTATCTTTTAAAAGGATTACCAAAGTTTTTTAAAGTGGGTGTAAACCCTTAAATACACCCAGTGAAGTGACTAACCTCGATACACAGAGATGAAACAAATCCTCCTACATAAGTATTACCTGATTATCTGCAGTCCTCTCTTCTTTACAGCCTCCTAAAGCACATGTTTTACACAGCACCTCTGAGTTCCAGCAGGCAGGGGGTGGTGATCTGATATCACACACTGCAGAGCACACAGCAGGGAGCTGACTATAACCCGAGACCTGATGGAGGGAAGGGATGCACACCCTCACACACAAATTCATAGGGAAACATGCACAGCTGAGGTTGTCAATCACCTTCTGGGGGCTAGGGAGAGGCATCTCCCAAGATTTTCTGGTATCAGGATAGACTGTCATAGGTGACTCATTCAGATAGCAGAGGGAGGAGAGAACAGATAGGAACCACACTAGGTGCTTTGTATTGAGACATGTACACACTACAGAAAGATATGCTTTGTTCATTTTTCATTTCAGAGGTTTACAACCACTTTAACAGTACAGAAGTTAAAAAAAAAAAAAAATACCTGTCGACATGTTTTTGTCCCAATCAACCTGGCAATAGCACAGAAATTGTCATAATAGGTGCCAATGAGGACTCTAAACAGAGATGCTTCTGCTCCGCTCCAGTCGACATTCTCAGGGAGCTCATTTGGCTTCATTTTGACAGGAGTTTGGCAACGAGAATTTGCTTCTACAGGAAACAATGCATTTTTGGAATAAATTAATGTGTACACCCAATCACAGCTGTTTCCATGTGGCTAAAATGAGCTGTCCCTTAAAAGTAAAAAAAAAAAAAATTACCAGAAGAACTAGAGGTTTCATCTTTCTTTTCCTCCTCTTCCTTGTCATTGCTTTCTCCACCAGTCTCCGTGCCAGCTTCCCTATCGCTATCGGTGTCTTTGGCTTCTGACACATTGACAGTTGGCGTGCTAGGTCTGCTGGTGCTATTTGGAAGTCTGCCTCTTCGGCGACCACCAGGGCGCTTTGGTGGGGTCTTTATCCTCTCTGCTGTTAGTGCTGCAGCATATTCCTTGGCACCTTCCTAAAAACACAGTCATGCTACATGAGGCAGTTGTAAGACACTTGACCAAAATTAAGATACGCTAAAAGTTATTATTTATTTTCTTAGGAGTAGCTCCAGTTCAAAAGGTTAACCCTCTTTTTAATCCTAATCCTGTCGCCTATGGAAAATACTGTATATGGTACCAAAGTTTGTTGCCGTGTCAAGGGTACATGCAATTTTAAGGTTTGACATCTTATATATTTAGTAAAAAGTGGCTAAAATAGTTGTGTCTGTGTGCCCTAAAATTAAGGTTAGTATATTTTACACAGAAATTTTGTGTTTCCTAAACTGTTGCACTTAATATTGTGTGACAATAAAAAAACTACCACTATTTTTTAGGGTGTCCATTTCAGAAAACATACGTTTTGGGCGTTTTACGTAATCTTCAGGCCTAAAATATGATTTCTTAAACATGTAACCAATAGAGCAAACATATCTCTGGCAGCAAAGGGTTAAAACCAGGCAGATTTTTTTTTTTTAAATTTAAATAATAACCCGCTTTAGCATTAGCACCATTTAAGCCATGTCTTATATGGCTATTTAACCACTTCAAGTCCGGACACTTTCACCCCTTCCAGTCCAGGCCAATTTTCAGCTTTCAGCGCTGTCACACTTTGAATGACAATTGTGCACTCATGCAACGCTGTACCCAAATGAAATTTTTAGCATTTTCTTTGAGACAGATAGAACTTTCTTTTGGTGGTATTTATTCACCAATGGAATTTTTATTTTTTTTGCTATATAAAAGGTAAAAAGACTGAAAAGTTTGGAAAAAAAAAAAAAAAAAAAAAAAAAAAAAAAAACACGTTTTTCTTATAAAATTTTGCAAATAAATAATATTTCTTCATAAATCTTGTCCAAAATGTATTCTGCTACCTTTTTGGTAAAAAAAATAACCCAAATCAGTATACAGAAAAATAATTATAATTGTTCAAAAAAAAAATGTTTTTACATTTTTATTTTGTTTTTATATTATTTATACATACTGTCAACCTAGCAGTTTTTTTACATTGTGATTGCTTTTACACCCATAAAAGCTGTAAAAGCAATAATTTCTCCTTTTCTCTGGCTGCATTCCTGCAGCCATTGAGAAATATTGTGATGAATGGCCTTGTACCATGTGACTTCTGTGATCATTCACAGAATTCAAAAGTGGTAAGCAATGATGTCAGGAAGTGACATCTTGTTTACTACGGTTCATGTGATCACTGATTGACCAATCAGTGATCACATGAATTGGGACCTCACATAGCGGCCCCAAACAGCGGTTTGTGTTCCACTGGACACAGAGGGCACAGATAACGGTGCTGTGCGCTCCCATCCAAACGTTTATTGGAATGGTTCAGACGGGAATAGGTTAATATGCGTGTAGTACAGTTTTAAAGTAGAATTCCAGGCAAAACCTATCTATTCTTAAAATTGTCCCCTCCCTCCTCCAAACACCTATTTGGGGACTAACCTGTATAAGAAAGATATGTATATCTGTCCTTTTTTCAGGTCACTCTAGTCTGGTCACATGATCAGCTCCCCTCTGTCAGCCAGCAGCCTCTGCAGACAATTGGCCATTGAAGTCTATAGGTGACATTCCCAGGAATTATCAGCTGTTATCGAAGCTTTCTCTCCTCTCCCCTGCAGCTGGAGCTGGCTGACACAGTGGAGATCATGTGACCAGAACAGCCTAAAAATAAGTGTATAAATCCTTCCTACACAGGTTAGTTAGAATTACAACGAAGGGGACAGTTTAAGAGTACATAGGTTTTGCATTGAAGTCCACTTAATCATTATTCTGGTTCAGTTTCACAATCATTTCAAATCACTGTCAGATAATCAGCTTTCAAGATGTAATTGTGCAATGATCCATCAATCTGTAGGTTCCATCATTTTACTACAATTTTATATTCTTATGCATGCCATAGAAATGGCGAAAACCTAAACAAAAATTCTTGTCGATTGCCGGATCGTTTGTTTTTCGCATCATTAGTGTGCCAGCAGCAATCAAAAGTGTTTGATCCAACATACTGGAAAAATGAAACCAATGATTGCACAATTGTATGCACCATTTTTGTTTTTCAATTGACAAAACATTCGTTTTGCAGCCGGCCTTACAGTCATAAGATGGCAGTACCAGACATCTTATGCTAGCAAGCAAGGCAATCAAATTAAACATCACTTGCCACGACTGGGCCATGCACTGAAAAGCACTACAGAAAACAACAAAAATATTTGTGAATAGTCACTCTCTTTTTATGGAGAAAAAGAAACAGTATTCAATGTGTGCTCGCTGTGTTTATGCAAATGACCCTGAAAGACCCCAGTGGCGTGCACATTGTTTAAGGGTGGGCAAATGTCTTACTGTCCCATCATTATTATAAGTAAACATCTGCCCAAGTATCACCATCCTAAAATACAGAATGCAAAGAAGATAAATGGGACAAATCTTACCAAAAGCTGGTAACAGTTGGGACCACAGGGCTTTCCATCATTTGCAGCTTCATTATTTTTCCTTTTGTATGTGTTTGGAGTGGCGTGAAAAGCTTAAAAAAACAATTGAAAAAAAAAAAAAAAAAAAACAATTGTTATAGGATTTCCTTAAGGAGTGTTACAAATACAAATTTGCATCAAGTGGCCTTCCAACAGCAATGTGTGCTTAATTGGTTCAATGCAATGCTAAATCATAGCAGAGTAACTATTACAGAAAAGGTGCAAAAGTATATTTTTCAGAATTACATCCTGAGAGCTTACATTTCTAGATTAAAACTTCAAGATCTTTTGCAAATATGTAAATAAAGGGGGTACTTACGATGCAAGAAGCAATCATACTTGAAACATCTCCTACAAAACAAGGTGTGGAATGAATGAAGACTCTGCTCCCTTTGCACAGATTTTGCATTTGGTCCATCAATGTTTGGGGTGCATTCTGGAGGAAGAGCTCCAGGTAGCTGCTGCTCTGTCAATTCCTTGTACCTGGAAAGTGAAGATACATGGCATATCTGAAATAAGGATGTTGATATTAAATCAACAACACAAAACAAAAATAACAGTTCTAATAAAAAGACAATCAACAATCTAGCACTTATTTACGTTAAAGTTACGTCATTCAAGAATTCCAACAGAAGAGTTACCTGCAAAGTAGGCTCTACCTCTTTCTCCTGTAGCCAGCACCACTAAATACTTTTCTGGTAAGGGGAAATCTTCCAACAAAACCTGTTTACAGAAGACCTGATCTCCTTTGTTCCCTGCAGAGCACCAACCCTCATGTTACAAAAGACACATTAGTGATGCAGGGTCGGTGGGAGGAACCACTGAGCACAGTGGAGGACATTGAGATTGAGACTTCCAGAAGTGTCTGTTTATGAATAGACTGTAGAGGGCAATTTCTTCCCATCAGAGCAGCATTTAGCAGTTCAGGCAGCTGAAATAGGCAAGTATTCATATCTCATTGACATAGTTACTTTCACAATATTCAAGGTGACAGTAGCAGACCTTTTTCTGTTGTGCACAGGAAGTTACAAGAACAAAAGTTTTCTGACAGGAGCAACAGGTAACTTCTGTCCTCACTGAAGGCGTTCTTTATCTGAAAGATTAAAACTAATGTAGTCGCCATATCACGAGACTGGCAAACTTCAATATGCTAAATTTTTGCTTTTGGTTTTATATACACTTTAAAGTTCACCTAAAAGAATATGTTGCACTTTGAAGTAAATTATTAAAGGAATGAGGAACACTAGAACACCTTACTATCAATTAAAGTGATTGTAAAGTCTGTTTCCTTTTTTTCAAAAGAACAAACATGTTATACTTACCTGCTCTGTGCAATGATTCACAGCAGCCCCAATCCTCTTGTAGGATCCTCCGCTGGCACTCCTGGCCCTTCCCTTCTGCTGAGTGCCGCCATAGCAAGCTGCTTGCTATGAGGCATTCATGTGTGCTGGACCTTGACCCGGCTCTGTGTGTCCATAGACGCAGAGTGCTGCTTGGCCCCACCCTTCATTCTCTTCTCTCTGGCTGTGATTGACAGCAGCAGGAGAATCAGCAAAACGCAAGGTGGAGAAGAACAGGAGACTATATATCAAGCTGTATGACTAACAAAAAAAAGTATTTGATTGTCTTCCAAAAGACAAATCCACCCAAAAACAGATTTGAATCTGCTGTGGTATTCGTTATAATGAGTCATATGCCTTTTTTTTTTATCCCTTCAGGAAGTACAATCAGAATTCCTAGTTCTACCCAGCTGATGAGACCATTACAAAACCAAATGACAGTATCCCATACCCATGATGAATTATCAGACATTTAAAAAGAATCAGTCAGCAATCTGAATGTCCACTCCTTGTACTACATGTATACCCTGAGTGTCAAACTAGATATATTAACTCTGTATCAAGCTGTAATGTCCATAGAGGCTCACTTGTTTCCTGCATTAACTCAGGATCAATGTGGCATTCTTAACGCAAATCTAAAGAAAAAGAATAAAAAACGTGATCAGGCATGCTATGTCTTCTGCAATAAAGCAAACTTTACTGTCTGTTCACAATCTTCTTCAGAATGCACACTGAGCTGTGCACACTTTGGTGCCAAAATGAATGAACTCCCATGTGAATGTGCAGGGGTCAATCAGGACATGGATCAGGAACCTGGATGAAGCTGGAGAGAAACTGTAGTCTCTGGAGAGGGAGCTTGTGAAAGTGGCATCCCTGGTGCAGAGGTATTTTCGGGCTTTAGTTCCACTTTTCTGAAGGGTAAAGATGTCAAATACCAAATCCTATAGTTTCCTGCATGTAATCCTGACAGCACTCTTGGTATATGACAACTTTAAGGTTTTTTTTGCACTAAACTCAGGCAGGCGATGGGACAGACTCTGTGAGGGCTTCTGGTCTGACACTCAGCCTCACAATTCTAATCTAAGAGGAAATTAATACAAGTTAATACAAAAATTAAGTGATTACTAAAAAGGTATAGCTGTACTATATAGCAATTCAAAACTGGAAATTCAGATTACTGCAAATGTTCATTGTGACCACTTCAAAAGATGCATAAAATGGTGAGTGATAATAACCAGCAATGTCGATCCAAAATAGAAATAATCAACTTTGGTGGAGTTGTCCTTTAACATACTCTTTCATTGAATAATTTTGTATAAAAAAAATATGTTCCCTAACGCCTAGCCTAATATTTAGACACGATACTGTAAGGCCTGGATGTAACATGCCCCCTATGATGAAAGAGCTTTTCTTCATATAAAAACGTAAGAATCTCTAAGCGCTGCTACAAATGATGCACTCACTAGAAGGTGAAACAACCCTTTCATGTAGTTTATTCATGATCTACATAAAATCATGTCAGGCTTCTAATTGTGGCATTGAAACCACATTATTTGTACTTGTAATTGCTTTGACTAGAGCTGAAAATCGGAACACAAAATGCTACATAAATTATGCAAGTATGGTTTTCATAGAGAGAAATAAAATGGAAGTATTTGGTGTGAGAAAGAAAAACATAAAAACCACAGTACAGTCCGTAATTCCACAGGACATTGCCAATAAAGCAGCCCCTTACATACTGCAGAATATGTATTCCATTTATAATCATCTGCCAAGGCAAAGGGGTAAGCTGCAAAAGACAGCCACAGACTTTTCTCCCCTTAAAGCTGCCCATCAGTGGCCCAAAGTAGACTTTAATGCCTGGGAGACCGTGTGGCCTCTTGTATCATGTGACCACCGTGATTGGGTCTCTCAGCGGTCACATGATTGGGACCCCCCTCCCACTAGCTCCCAATCAGAAGACTTGACCGAAAGCTATCAGAGAAAACTCAGTCATTTCTCTGTGAGCATGCCCTCAACACAACCCCCTGCCACCGTGAACCTATATGTGCAGCAGCCAGGCATTCAGTCCACCTTTTTTACTGACACATACACTATATTGCCAAATGTATTGGGATGCCTGCCTTTACAAGCACATGAACTATAATGGCATCCCAATCTTAGTCCGTAGGGTTCAATACTGATTTGGCCCACTCTTTGCAGCTATAACAGCTTCAACTCTTCTGGGAAGGCTGTCCACTGCCTTTACAAGCACATGAACTATAATGGCATCCCAATCTTAGTCCGTAGGGTTTCAATACTGATTTTGGCCCACTCTTTGCAGCTATAACAGCTTCAACTCTTCAGGTTTAGGAGTGTGTCTATGGGAAGGTTTGACTTATTCCAGAAGCGCATTTGTGAGGTCAGGCACGAGAAGGCCTGGCTCCACTCTAATTCATCCCAAAGGTGTATTGTCAGGTTGAGGTCAGGACTCTGTGCAGGTCAGTCAAGTTCCTCCACCCCAAACTCGCTCATCCCTGTCTTTATGGGCCTTGCTTTGTGCACTGGTGCGCAGTCATGCTGGAACAGGAATGAGCCATCCCCAATTTGTTCCCAGAGAGTTGGGAGCATGAAATTGTCCAAAATGTCTTGGTTTGCTGATGCCTTAAGTGTTCCCTTCACTGGAACTAAGGGACCAAACCAAACCCCTGAAAAACAACCCCACACCATAATCCCCCCTCCACCAAACTTTACACTTGGCACAATGCAGTCAGGTAAGTACCATTCGCCTGGCAACCGCCAAACCCAGACACGTCCATTGGATTGCCAGATAGAGAAGCGTGATTCGTCGTCATTTCAGAGAACACGTCTTCGCTGCGCTAGAGTCCATTGGTGGCGTGCTTTACACCACTGCATCCGATGCTTTGCATTTCACTTGGTGATGTAAGGCTTGGATGCAGCTGCTCGGCCATGGAGGCCCATTACATGTGCTAATCTGAAGGCCGCACAAAGTTTGGAGGTCTTTAACTATTGACTCTGCAGACAGTTGGTGACTTCTGTGCACTTCAGCATGCGCTGACCCCACTCCGTTATTTTACGTGGCCTACCACTTGGTGGCTGAGTTGTTGTTGTTCCCAGTTGCTTCCACTTTGTTATAATACCACTAAGAGTTGACTGTAGAATATTTAGTAGCAAGGAAATTTCACAGATGGACTTATTGCAAAGGTGGCAACCTATCACGGTACCACGCTTGAATTCATTGAGCTCCTGAGAGCGACCCATTCTTTCACAAATGTTTGTAGAAGCAGTCTGCATGCCTAGGTGCTTGATTTTATACACCTGTGGCCATGGAGGTGAATGGAATACCTGAATCAAATTATTTGGAGGGGTGTCCCAATACTTCTGGCAATATAGTGTACGTGCGCTTTGCGGCCATCAAGAGCTTTCAAAACCACAAAAGAAAATTGCATGACATGGAATCTGATTGCTTTCTATAGATCGACTGGAAAAAAAAAAAACAACCATAGGAGCCAAAGATCCAATGAGGCAACATTGCTACTTTTTTTTTTTTTTGTTATTGAATTGAAGCATGTGTTTTATTGTCCCTTGAAAGTAAGTGCTAGTTCCTTAGCAGTCTCCTAAATTCAACATGCATTTGTCCAGTTGTATTACAGCAACGTTTTTCGCCACTGCACTGTTTTTTCTAGACTAAAAGCAAACGGGTATTATTCAGAAAACAAAACTCATATAGATTAAACCAAAGGATTAAATATATAGACTTTGTACACAGACAATGCAGATACATTTATGACGCAATATACACAAGGTCACAACATGGCTTACTTCTCTTTCAGCTCTTCTGTTGTTCCCTTGTCAGGAAACATGGAAGATATTGCCTCGAAGATTTTATCAGAAGGAAACTTCCGTGGCAACTGGGTCACCTTGTCTGGTAGGAAATATAAAGTGAGGTTTTATTGCACACATTCAGGGATAACAAGGGTAAAAGTAACACACTGATGACCACTCACCGTCCTGCTGTCATCCTGATCCTTTTCTTTGTCATCTCGGTCATCGTCCTGATTGTCATCACCATCCTCATCATCTTCATAATCACTGTATTGGCTTAGGGCATTAACCAACTCCACAAATATCTCATCATTAATAAAACCGCACTCTGCAAAATAAAAACAAAAAGCTATAGATCAATCACTGAAAGTACAGGGACAGCAACACTGTGGTGTAACTGGGCAGTACTTCTTGGGCAGGTGTCAATCAACAAAATACTATCCAGGCAATAGAATTGCTGATAGCTTCTTTAGATGCAACAGGCCAAAAAATTTGTTCCACACAAGCCACCACAAATTACCATGAAAATGACTGAATTGACAGTTAAATTATCACTCCTTTTGCTATGGGTAAAAAGATATGCAAACCCCCTATGAGTTTGTGCCATCGCACGAAACGCGTCAGAGGGGCTACAGCACTAGGACACCACACTGCCGGCACTACACTGGTCACGGCAGCCATCCTGGATCATCGTTACTGGTCAGTGGCTTTGTTATCTATTCAATAAAGCACCCTCTATTCAAACGGTATCACGCTTATTAGCCTCTTCTTTTCTGAGCTTCTCGTGAGCTTTTACCATCCACAGAGGAGGTGAGCCACCCCCTCCCTCCTAGATTGTAAGCTCGTAAGAGTAGGGCCCTCTTACCCCTCGTACGTTGTTTGTTGTTGTTGTACTGTGCCATGTATTGTCCCCCCTATTGTACAGCGCTGAGCAAACCCTTTGGCGCTATATAAACTCGTAGTAATAATAATAATAATAATGTCGGTAAAAGAGGGATACTGGACCTGACCAGACCTTTAAAGGGGACACCCTGGTTCTTTGAGATTGATATCTCTAAATGCGCAGTGGGATTGCGCGTTTGGTGAGTGCGCAGTCTTTACATCTTTATAACAAATTATTATGACCAGTCATTTGGATCCGGAAGTTTTCTAGGCACCTTAATATTTGGACTTTTACTTGGCAATGTGCACATGGCGAGTCACTAGTAAGTGACGCATTACACCTATTGTATATGTATTTGCACTATGTCACTTTATCACTTATCTTTGAACTATTTTATTGATCAATTTGATGTGCAAACATCATATCCATAGGCTATCTTTAAGCTGTCATCAGGACAAGACTTCCCAGTATACTGGCATAGCTAGGAGATATTGGCCTCAATAAACACTGAACCTGTATAATGTTCTTTTAATTTCCAGTTTACCACAGGAATTTAAACAGAGTTTATCTATGGTGGGGTAATAGAGAAGTGGCCATCGGTTATACTGCCGCTTCCTGAATGCCCATTTTTTTAGCCAAAGGGGGATTTTCTACCAAAATACTGTCCCGTAAACATGAATGAAGCCTATTTTTACTGCCACCCCTCACCTCTTCCCAGGCTGCCGGTGTAAACAAGGCTTTAGTGGATTAAGCCTAATGAGTGCTTCTTGTGCATGTCAACACTATACTGCAAAAACCTATAAGCAATAAATTTGTCAAGCAAAGTAAAGGAATAAACACAGATAAAATCTGATAAAGTGGCATTTTGCTCTGCAGTTCTAAACAAAAATCAGAGCTAGGTTTACTTTTACCAAACTATATTTCTCAAAACTTCATGTTTAAAGAATCAGTCAAAATAGTGGCAAAACAGCCAGATATACAAGCTGGAATCTTTCCTGTTCCCAGGATCTTCTAAAATTGTGAAAGACACGTGTGTAGTTCGCAAACACAAAAATAGAAGCATTTCAGCATTTTACATTGCTAGTGTTCCCACCAGCTCAGCCTGACCCATGATCGTTATAGAACAAGAGCTTTGCATAGCTGCCAAGAGATTTGGCTGGAAGAAAACATGACCACTAACAGCTGCAATTATCAGCCAGCTAGACAAAAGGCTTCACCCAAGGACACAAACATGTTAAAAAGACAACTATTTACCCTTTCCTAACCAAAGAAGCATATATTGCACGGTGAAAAATTGGCCTGTAGTTTGATGAGCTATGGCCATGTTCAGCACTTTAACAGCTAAAGTCTTTTGCAGTGTATGTGTCGTTTTGCCAGCTGCGACTGCCAGCAAGCCCATGACGACTGGGGGCCAATTCACACTATATGCGGTGACACCACACTGCCCCCTAGCACAGCCGGCAATGCAGAGCGCCCAGAGTAGTGAATCACTGTGGCTGCTCTGCGTTGTGTGAATTCACCCTGAATGACCTGAGAATTGTTGAGCCTCTTTAGATATTACCTTTTTTTTTGCCTCTTTAAATAATATACAGTATATAGTGCTTTGACAATCTTTTTCCATATATTAAAATGGGTGTAAAGGTTCAAGGTTTTTTACCTTCATGCATTCTATGCATGAAGATAAGAAACCTTCTTTGTGCAGCAGCCCCCCCCTAATCCTTACCGGAATACCATCTCGATCCAGCGATGTGCACAAGAGCAGTGTCTATCCCTCCTCGAATGGCTGAGCCACTGGCTCCTGCTACTGTCAATCCCAGCCAGTGAGCCTATGAGGAGGCGGGGGGCATGGCCAAGCTGCATCTGTGTGTTAATGGACACACAGAGCAGCAGCTTGGGACCGAGCCTGTTCAGGTGCCCCCATAGCAAGCTGCTTGCTATGGGGGCACTTGGCAGGAGGGAGGGGCCAGGAGCACTGGTGGGAGAACCGAGAAGAGGAGAATCGGGGCTGCTCTGTGCATAACCAATGCAGAGAGCAGGTAAGTATGACATGTTTGATATTAAAATTTTAAATCTGCCTTTACAATCACTTTAAGTATTTGCATAATAAATATTTTATGTGTGTAATTGAAAAAGTGTAAAAAAGAAAAACAAAGAGAAAATAAACAGACCCAAGACCATTATAGTTCCCCTATTTTCTTACATCATGCTAACTGAAAATGCTGACTGCCTGGTTGTCATGCTTGTCTTGACCCAGAACAAGTAGGCAGTTTGGAAGGTCTGCCTTCACTTGCTATGGGTGAGTGAATCAGAAAGGAAGTCAAAAGATCAGAATGACAGTTACAGCTTGCATTTTCACTAGGTAAGATCACTTATCGCTCAGAAGTTTCCAGTAACAAAAACCTTTGGTACATTTAGAAAGCAGGATATGATTTTCAAACAGTGACTAAGAAAATCCAAATCAACAATTTAACCTAATAGCACAGAAGCAGAAAACTTCTAGCAACTATGATTACATGTTTACTCAGAGTGCACCAAGCTAATGAACAGCACAGTTTAAGCAGGAACAGACCAGGGAAAGCCCCCATACTCTAACAGGAACTATTTCTCCTAGTTCAGACCTGATTAGATAGAACACAGAAAGAAGAATGGAAACACAATGTTAAACTGTTACAAGTGCAGCTGAAGGAAAAAGTTGATGATAAAAATAATAGATTCTGAAAAAGTGAAGAGACAGTTGGATATATAGTCTGTGTTTCTCTTTAGCCAACTCATTAACCTGCCCTTGCCCTGATGCTAGCAGGAAAGGGAGAAGCTCAATGGTTCTGAAGAGAGAAACAGACTTGCCATACATGAAGTATAACATTTTCTGCATTTTATAAAACTGCATTAGGGTAATTGTATACGGCCATTGCAATGAGTACTTAGTGGTGGTCCTAAAATTCATAGAAAACTTTTGAAGGTTTCTGAACACATCAAAAGAGAATAATACCAGGAATGGATCCCTGAAAAGAAATGAGTAGCAGCCCCAGATGAGATTAATTAATGGAACATCCCATCATACCCCTGTCACCATGGACCTTTCCATCATAGTTTTTGATCAATTCTTCTATAAAAGTCCCATCTTGGTCCAGCACCTCATCTCCCATGTAAGGAATGTTATGTAGCACAGTCTCATCTTCTACCTAGAATAGAGAAAAGTTGCAAAACCGATTTTAAATCTGCTGTTTGAATTCAGTGCAAGTACATGCAACATAGCAATTATCTACTGAACTTGAACTTTGAAGGAAGTTAATAGAAGATCACAGGCCCCAGCATTAGTCAATCTTAAACTGGTCTGACAGTGTGTATGTCAGAGGGCACTAATCTTGCAATAATGTACTTTACACAGGGATATGTTTAAAGGTTAACATGGGAAGCTGCACAACCACAAATGTATTCAAAAGCTTACATGAGCTCAATTTAAAACTGTATTTTCCTTGTACCTAATGTGAACACGTAAGGAAATGCACTGGACTTGCTCTATAAATCCATTCCACAAAAATGGGCTGCTCTTTTTATTTACTTTTTTATTTCAGATTTTCAATAGTGCTAACATTACAAGATTACATAAAATAATTAACTTACAGTTAGAATACATCAATAACTGGATATTTTTGTTACTCACAGCAAAATCCCTTTCAAAGTTTATTGATGGGACACAGCTCTTCCTTATTCTTGACTGTAGGGTTATAGCGCCACCATCAGAAGTAGGACACAAAGTAGAAAAAAAAGAACACAGCACCACCTATGGGCAGCCGTAACTGGTAGACAACCCCCTTTCTGCTATAAGTACCTCAGTTCATCACAAATCAGTACAAGGTAAAACCATAATAGAGAGGCAGGTGCTGTGGTTGTCAATGAACTCAAAAAAAAAGGATTTTACGTTATGTAACGGAAAAAAAAAAAAAACCTGTTTCTCTTACGTTCACTGAGGGACACAGCTCTTCCTTATCCTTGGTGACGCCGCAAAGCAGTACTTCATTGAGGGGTGGATAATCAGAGCAAAAACATTGAACAACACCTGAGAACTCCACCAGAGAGGGACAAGAGAACTCAAACAGCCGCCTGCAAGATCTTGCAGCTGAAACACATCAAAAGATGCCAAAACATCAACTATGTAAAACTTGGCAAAGATGTGCACAGACAACCAGGCAGCCGCCTTGCAAACCTGAGACACAAACGCCTGATGTCAGGAAGCCCAGGAGGAACTAATCGACCTGGAGGAGTACACCTAACAGGGAGCAGGGGAGGCCTGAAACTTAATAGCATAGGCCTGAACCACCATCTGCCTGGTCCATCAAACACTAACGGTAAAGGAAGCCGCCAAGCCATTACGTGGGCCGTCTGCTATCACAAAAAGAGAGTCCGACCTCAACCGGCACTATCTGACTGGATCCTGTCTCGGAGTCCACGGAGAAAGTCAATCCAGAGAACCAGACTGATCGCCCGTAGCTCCAGGATATTGGTAGGTCCTTAGCCACACCAAAAGAGCCAGGTTAAGATAGAGGGGATACCTTCCCAGTGACAGAACACCTCTCAGCCAGAGCCAGGGTGCTGTTCACCTGGGGGACACTGTGAGCAACCAGCCCAGAGCTGATTGGTCATATGTGCTCCCCATAAGGAATGCTCAAAAGGTTGCCCATTGTCCACGCCGGTCTGTCACAGCTAACCCCATGCATAGCTAAAGATCTGCATGCGCTCGCTGGCCAGGCTGGGGTGACTACTGGATTAAGATTGTCCACCCTGTCGCCCAGCCAGCTGGTGACTGAAGATTCTTTACAGGAAAAAAAAAAAAAAAAAAAAACTATGAAACCACAGGTTCCAGATGGGAGCTAGGTCCTTATTCCTAAGACTAAGCAGAAAAAAAAACAAAAAAAAACTGAGCTGCCTATAGCAGATAGGGGGTTGACTACCAGTTAAGACTGTCCATAGGCGGTGTGGTGTTCTTTTTTTCTGCCTAGTTTCCTACTCCTGAAAATGCCACTATAACCCTAATGTCAAGAATGAGGAAGAGCTGTGTCCATCAATGTACAAAAGAAATTATATTTTATAATCTGTAGACAAACAATCACAGAACATTCCCAGCACATAAGAGGTTATTACCCAAGTCTCAAAGTCTCTCTTAATAAATAATTTATGTTTACTTAATAAAGGTGTCACTGAATTACAAAGCCATTGGGATTCCAGACATACATCACCAGTTAAAGGATAGGTTCACCATTTAACAAAAAATAATAAATGCACATTTTCTTGCAAGTTATTTTTTGTTGCAGGAGCCTGTTTGGCATTGCACTAGCGATCAGTAGATCACTGAAGTCATGCAGGTCTCCTGCAGACCTTTCAGTATATCTCTGCTTTCCCATACAAGATGTAGGAGCAAGCACATATACTCATAGGAAGAATCAATAAACTACCACAGAGCTCACCGAGAACTACAATCTGACAGTCGCTAAGGCTATCAGACCTTGTAGTGTTCTTATTCACTGAATACTGTGAAGGAGTGACTTGGCCAGGCGGGCGGAGCCTGGTGCTTTCATAAAATGTTACACCCTGAATATGGGTGTAACAGGCTACAAAAGGTGAACTTATCCTTTAAAGAACTGTCAATGTATAAGCAATCCAGAATTACTTACCATAAAATTCTGTTGAAGGGGAGACCAGGAGTACATGATAGGCACAGAGGCTACAGCGTTGAGGGTTTTCAGTGGGATAACTTGTTTAGGGAAGTCAAGATCACTAGTCACAGAACACTAAAAAAAAAAAAAAAAAAAAAAAAAAAAAAAAAGGAAATTGATAAACATCCTGAACATGTTAACTTTGAACTCCAGCCACGACTGTTTTGTTTGGTCTCAGGAACAGTGGGGTAGGATTAGTACCCCTTTGTCAAATTTTCTAAAGGTGTAACCATACCTAAAGAAACTTTCCCTCTCTTCCTACATCTATGGAAAGGGAAATCTACCCAACCAAGAAGCAATAAAAACATCTTTTCAAGTAGGCTGCAAGAAAAAACCACGATGAGTTGTATTTTTTCCCATCTATCCACCAAAAAAAATGCTTTTAAAAGCAATTAGAAAGCAGTAAGGATTAGACACGTACTAAGACCACATTAGCACACATTGCAGTAATACAAAATTATCAGTACAGGTCTTCATATCAGCTGTATTAAAATGTCTGAATTCTGCCATTAAGAGACAATGATGAATGAAATCTAAACTCCAGATGAATAGCTAAATATACAGATGAAATATATACAGTATTTGGAAGCAGTTTTCAAAAGATTAGAATTTTTCTCCACCCAATTCTAAAATTTACACATATCTGCCAAACCACACATCCATGTTCGGCAGGGAGGACAGGGGCAGAGACACATGGGGCTCTGATTTTTCTCTGTTGCAGCTCAGTAGCACTTCAGACCTCTTCCTCACCACAACCCTGTGACTGGACAGAATAACGTAGTGCAATGGCTCCTTGTACTGATCAACCCCCCCCCCCCCCCACCCTTCTAAGCTCTGCATGGACTGCAAGAGGCTGGTACCAAGTCAAAATTAGGTACTTACACTGCTTGATCCATTTAACTGCTTGCGCTTGATCACATATCAAATACATGATCCAGCTGTTCCGGGAAGGGGGTGTACATGTGCCGCCCCGGCTGTGCTGTGATTAGTCACAGCATAAGCCGATCAGCAGGCCCTGGCCAATGATTGATGGATGGGACCCTCTGATCAACAAAGAAGACAGGGCATAGATCTCTGATTGTAAACAACACAGACTTCGTCCTGACAGCAGGGATGAGCTGGCTTTTGTTTCCCTGAAAAACAGGGAACAAAAATTGACACACAGTGAATGCACCAAGCACTGTTAGGCACACAGTTAATCCTTTGCTACCCAGTGTCAGTGTACATTATTAGCACTAATCACTGTATTAGTGATACTGGTTCCAACAGTGTCAAAAGTGTCAGGTAGTGTCAGACTGCCCGCCATACTATCACAGTCCTGCTTTAAGTCGCTGATCACCGACGTAACACACGCACGCACGCACGCACACACACACGCTGTTGCGCACAGAAGTCGCCAACTATCTGCAGAGTCAATAGCTAAAGACCTCCAAACTTTGTGTGGCCTTCAGATTAGCTAAACAACAGTGCGTAGTGAGCTTCATGGAATGGGTTTCCATGGCCGAGCAGCTGCATCCAAGCCTTACCTTACCTCTTGCAATGCAAAGCGTCGGATGCAGTGGAGTAAAGTACGCCGTTAGTGGACTCTAGAGCAGTGGAGACGTGATCTCGGGAGTGACAAATCATGCTTTTCTGTCTGACAATCCAATGGACGTGTCTGGGTTTGGCAGTTTCCAAGAGAACGGTACTTGCCTGACTACATTGTGCTAAATTGTAAAGTTTGGTGGAGGAGGATTAGTTCCAGTGAAAGGAAACTCTTAAGGTGTCAGCATAGCAAAACATTTTAGACAATTTCATGCTCCCAACTTTGTGGGAACAGTTTGGGGATGGCCCCTTCCTGTTGCAATATGACTATGCAACAGTGCACAAAGCAAAGTCCATAAAGACATGGATGAGCATGTTTGAGCTGGACGAACTTGACTGGCCTGCAGAGTTCTGACCTCAACCAGATAGAACATCTTAATGATTAATTAGAGCGGAGACTGCGAGCCAGGCCTTCTCAACAGACATCAGTGCCTGACCTCACAAATGCGCTTCTGGAGGAATGGTCAAACATTCTCATAGACTAAATAAATAAATAAATATATATATATATATATATATATATATATATATATATATATATATATATATATATATATATATATATATATATACACATACACATATATATATATATATATAGCCATCTTTTAACTCTGGACGGTTAGTCCACACTGTTGTACCTGCTATTTTTATACATTACACTTGGATACCAGTTATTTCTGCAATAAATACTCCAAACTACTACACTATGGGTATGTCTTTGCCTTGACTCCCCTGGGGAGTACTAATTTACAGCTATCCAACAACTGACCACCAGAGAGGGGAACTGTGGAAAACCCTGATCCATCATCTTAAAGTCCCAGGATCCATCCATCCTAAGAGGAAGTTTACTGTACTCCTGTCCTGCCCAGGGATGACCATTAGATGACATCAGTATTTAATACAAAACGCGCATTACTTTGTGCGTTCTGGTGAGTGCGCATTTCGTATACACCTGTTTGCACAATCACCGTCTCCAGGAAGATATATGATTCATGGGCACTTATAGTCACCTTACGAACTTTTATATGTCTTTTTAAATACACAATTGTGATTTTGTGAAATATTTTATAGCTTTACGATTGTTTCTTTATACCTTTTTGATATGATTTTTATAATTTTAGCGCTGCACACCACTGTTCATGTTGAACTTCCAATGACCAGTATGAGAGAGTGAGAGCGAAAACACCAAATTTAACACACCTGCTCCCCATACATACCTGAGACCTCGTAGCACTAACGAGTCACATGACACCGGGGAGGGAAAATGGCTAATTGGGCCCAATTTGGACATTTTCACTTAGGGGTGTACTCACTTTTGCTGCCAGCGGTTTAGACATTAATGACTGTGTGTTGAGTTATTTTGAGGGCACAGCAAATTTACACTGTTAAACAAGCTGTACACTCACTACTTTACATTGTAGCAAAGTGTCACTTCTTCAGTGTTGTCACATGAAAAGATACAATAAAATATTAAAATATGTACAAAAATGTGAGGGGTGTACGCACTTCTGTGAGATACTGTGTGCGTATGTGTGTATCTATCGATCCATAGATAGATAGATATACACACATTCAATATATGTACCATAGTTTGTAGATGCTATAATTTTCACACAAACCAATCAATATACACTTATTGGGATTTTTTTTTTACCAAAAAAATATGTAGCAGAATACATTTTGGCCAAAATTTATGAAGAAATTTGATTTTTTTTTTTTTTTTTTTTTAAATCATTATTTATACAGAACAGCGGGGTGTCCTCAAATTTCATAGACAATTATGTTCAAACGTCAAATGCATCACAAATCAACATGTCAGAATATAATTAAAAAACATAGGTCATGACTCTGTAGACACAGGGTCCCCTTAGAGGACCGGACCATTGTGGGAGACCACCTTACATAAAGTCGATGGAGTGGGACACTGCTGCAGGAAAAGAGATAGAGGTGGAAAAGGAAAAGACAAAGAAAAAAAAGGGAGTGTGCTTAATGGGAGGAGAGGTGCTGTGTATGGAGCACTCATTACCAGGATGAGGTTCCAGTAGAACTCATCGTGAGAAGAGACTTCCATTCCTCAGAATATATGAACATGTTCCATAGCCTCCAAGTTTGTGTTGGTGCGATAGCAAAAAGTCTTCCATTTGGTTCAAATCCTCCACTTTATGAAGCCAGAGCCCCCCAGATGGGGGCTGTGTGTCTCTGCATCTAAAGGGGTGCAGGCCTTGGCAGCATTTAAAAAAAGTGTAGGACTGATCGTTTGTATGTTTTGGACCGTATAGTGGTGACATGTAAAAGAAAAAAGCCTGGATCATCAGGGACTGGATAATCTGTGAATTTTTGCACAATACGACGGACCTCTTTCTAATAGTGTGCAAGCCTATGACAGGACAAACACATGTAGGAGAATTCCCTCCTCTTGATAACGCCAACATTTATTCGAGATAGTTGGGGAGAACTTGTATAAATTTGTAGAGGTTTTGTACTAATGGGTCAGAATTTTTGAAATTATTCTCTTGAATTCTTGTACAGAGGGAGGATTTTAAAGTAAATTGATCATATTTTTTTGGGAGTCTGTGAATGTTCTAAAAAAGGTCGATCTCCCATTTCACAAGATATGGTGGACAGAAGTCTTTTGGAGTTTGGAGAGTGCGTGGGGGAATGTGCCCATATCAGAACAGTATTCCTCCAGTGTAGTTAAAGTGGAGTTCCACTCAAAAGCAGAAGCTTCGCTTATTTGACTCCTCCCCCCCACTGCCATATTTGGCACCTTTTGGGGCGGGAGGGGAAGAGAGCAGATACCTGACAGGTACCTGCTCCCACTTCTGGCTCAGTTCGCCAAGGAGAAGTGAGCCGGACGTTTGGCCCCCTCCTTCCTCCCACAGTCTCCTGGGAAACCTTCACATGTCTCAGAAGACTGCTGGACCAATGAGAATGCGCAGCACGACTAGCACACGCACAGTGGGCACCCGATTGTGAAGCTGCAAGCTGTCACAGCCTAGTGCCCACAGTTGTGATGTCGGCACCGGGGAGAAAAGAGGCAGAGAAGGGATGCCGCAGGTGAGCACATTGCTGGACCCTGGGACAGGTAAGTGTTTATTAAAAGTCAGCGGCTACAGTTTTTGTAGCCGCTGACTTTTAATAAACACAGTGACTGGAATGCTGCTTTAAAGAGCGTCGATAACCCTTTGTAGGGGGAAGTGAACAGAGAAAGTGATGGAGCTGGAGAGCCCTCCAGGAATTCAATTGACATACACCTACCAGACACAAAAGAGTGTGTATAGAAGGCCAAGAGCTATTCACCAGAAAATTAGAGACTTGAAAATTAAGTGTAGAAAGGTCCCAAAGAAGCCATTTAATAAGCCCAGTTCAAAGTTCGGGTTACTCAGGATTGGATGAAATTTGATTCTTTTATTGGATATGTTTTATAGCAGAAAGTAAAAAGGGTTTTCTTTCAAAATGTTCAGTCTTTTTTCATTTATAGAATGAAAAAAAACAAAACAAAAAAAAACTAAAAAAAAAAAAACAGTGGTGATCAAAATACCCCCAAAAGAAAGCTTGGTTTGTGTGAAAACAAATTCTATATATTCTATTGTATTTGGGTACAGTGCTGCATGACCGCGCAATTGTCAGTTAAAATAACGCAGTGCCAAATAGCAAAAAAATGGCCTGGTCATGAAGGGGGTAAATTCTTCCAGAGGGCAAGTGGTTACGAGTGCATTAATAAATACAGAGCTTCATAAATAAATATATTTATATATGTCCCTCAAAATTTCCACTCGCCTGCTAATATTTGGAGATTGGAAATAACGTGGGGGCAAGCAGGGCCTGGACTAGGGTTGGGTTGGAGGGGCGGCAGTTACAAGCAACAATCTCCCTGTATGGCTTTCAATGAAGCAGCTGAAAGCCGCTAGAGGGAAAGGATGAGATGTGGCTTCACGCTGCTTCATTGAAAGCTATACAGGGAGATTGGTGCTTGTAACTGCTCCTACCGCTGCACCGATCACCCTCGACCATCCATCGGAATTCCCTTTCTTTCTAGGCCCCCCTGTGTGCTCCTCAGTGCCAAACCCCTCCCCTCCATCCTCTGCACCAATAGGAGAGAGGCTGGATCTGATCCACCTCCCTCTATGCCCCCGCCTCGCCGCAGTCCATGCAGCTTCACAGAAGGGGATGTGTGGGCGGGATACAGAACAGCTGGCAGCTCTGTGATGCTTCTAACTGAGCCAGCGAGCCGGTAACCATCCACGAAAGTCCGAACTTCCTTCATTCCCTCCCTTTCTCCCGTTCCTGCCCATGTGTCACACCACTGACCTCCGCACTGTGCGTCATTATGTTTCCCCATTGATGTCAAGCACTTATTTTCCTTTTAGGTTTACATTGCTTCATGGTAATATTGTTAAAGTTGATGTTATTAATATTTATTTTTGTACCTTTATTCTGCATAAAACATTTAACATATAAGGGCATGTTTAGGGGCAGGCCAGGGTAGGAGTTGCGAGGGGCAATTGTTGGCGAGTAACTGTTAAGGTAGCTCAGGACTTGATAGATATATATATATATATATACACACACACACACACACAGTGGGGATCGAAAGTTTGGGCACCCCAGCTAAAAATTTGTATTAATGTGCATAAAGAAGCCAAGGAAAGATGGAAAAATCTCCAAAAGGCATCAAATTACAGATTAAACATTTTTATAATATGTCAACAAAAGTTAGATTTTATTTCCATCATTTACACTTTCAAAATAACAGAAAACAAAAAAATGGCGTCTGCAAAAGTTTGGGCACCCTGCAAAGTTAATATCTTGTACTGCCCCCTTTGGCAAGTATCACAGCTTGTAAACGCTTTTTGTAGCCAGCCAAGAGTCTTTCAATTCTTGTTTGAGGTATCTTTGCCCATTCTTCCTTACAAAAGTCTTTCAGTTCTTTGAGATTTCTGGGCTGTCTGTCACGCACTGCTCTTTTAAGGTCTATCCATAGATTTTCAATTATGTTGAGGTCAAGAGATTGTGAAGGCCATGGCAAAACCTTCAGTTTACACCTCTTGATGTAATCAACCATGGATTTCGAGGTGTGCTTAGGATCATTATCCATTTGTAGAAGCCATCCTCTCTTTAACTTCAGCTTTTTCACAGATGGCATCAAGTTACCATCCAAAATTTGCTGAAATTTTATTGAATCCATTTTTCCTTCTACTCGTGAGATGTTCCCTGTGCCACTGGCTGCAACACAACCCCAAAGCATGATTGATCCAACCCCATGCTTAACAGTTGGACAGAGGTTCTTTTCAATAAATTCTGTGCCCCTTCTTCTCCAAACGTACCTTTGCTCATTCCGGCCAAAAAGTTCAATTTTAACCTCATCGGTCCACAGAACTTGTTTCCAAAATGCATCAGGCTTGTCTATATGTTCATTTGCAAAGTTCAAACAATGATTTTTGTGGTGAGGACGTAGAAGAGATTTTCTTCTAATGACTATTCCATGAAGACCATATTTGTACGAGTATCTCTTTATAGTGGAATAGTGTACAACAACTCCAGTGTCTGCCAGATCTTTCTGGAGGGATCGTGCAGTCAAACGTGGGTTTTGAATTGTTTTTCTCACAATCCTGCGAGCTGTTCTGTCTGATATTTTTCTTGGTCTTCCAGATCTTGCTTTAACTTCCACTGTTCCTGATGACTGCCATTTCTTAATTACATTCCGAACATTGGATATTGACATCTGAAAACGCTTTGCTATCTTCTTATAGTCTTCTCCAGCTTTGTGAGCGTCAACTATTTTCAGTTTCAGTTTTCTAGACAACTGCTTAGAAGAACCCATGGTGCTGATTGTTGGGGCAAGGTCAGATGAGTCTGGGCATTTAAAACCTTTGAGCTTGACATCACCTGGTCTTTCCAGACGATGATTGAGAACAATCCATAACACTGGCAGGTGTCAGCTTGGCAAAGGGGGCAGTGCATGCTATAAATTCTGCAGGGTGCCCAAACTTTTGCAGACGCCATTTTTTTGTTTTCTGTTATTTTGAAAGTGTAAATGATGGAAATAAAATCTAACTTTTGTTGACATATTATAAGAATGTCTAATCTGTAATTTGATGCCTTTTGGAGATTTTTCCATCTTTCCTTGGCTTCTTTATGCACATTAATACAAATTTTTAGCTGGGGTGCCCAAACTTTCGATCCCCACTGTATATATATATATCTCTCTATACACACACACACACACACACACACACACACACACACGTACATGCACACATAAAGGATAGCAGGTGGCATATATTTATACTATACAGAAAACAGCATAAGTAATTAATGGCATGATCTTTGCTCACTGAAATATGTATGAGCAGCATGTGTTTATGAGGAAGTTCTCTTTATTACACTATCCTCAGACATGAAAAATTAGCTTATTGCAGATTGTATCGACTCCTTAACTACAGGCTTGGTAAGACTTGCCCTTAGAACAAATGTGAAACCGAATGAAATTTTCCAACAAGTGCAGTCACACTATCATTCAACTTTGAAGCCATGGCTTTATCTACTTCAAATCTGTAGTCATCCCCGGCACATACAAGGCATTGTCAGATTAAGGAACAAAGACATCTAACTTTTAAAAATGCCCAACTGGTAAATTTACAATATGAATATGGTAGATCACATAAGCAGAACAATGAAGCATTGCTCAATTTTCATTTTTTGTAATGTTACTGTGTGCGTTTTTACCCAGAATCCCTAACTGTTTGGAATAAAAACACTGCTTAAATCAGCTGTGCATTTTACAATAGCCTCAGGAGAAAAACACTAGCAGAGAAGTCTAAGAAAAGAAAAAGAAATTGAAGTAGTGTAAAGAAGATGTATAAAATCTTACCTGTCCCACACCCATGTCTCAGATTTTTTTTTTTTTTTTTTTTTTTTTAAGAGCTATGTTGGTTTAAAGCCTACATGAGTCAGAAATTAAAAAACAAAAATAAGGGGCATTTCTTACAGTCAGTAGGGTGTGGCCCTTGTGCTGCTCTCTCTTCTATTCGCTGAAATATTCTTCCATTGATTTCCCCTCCCCACATTCTTTCTTTGTGACAGGGGATGATAAAGCTGACAGAGTTGTGACAGGCACTCATCAAGAGTGCCTGACGATGCCTGCCCTTTCCACCCAGTTCCAGCATTTATAGAAGTCGTACTATAGCTTCTATGAATGAAAAAGGATCTATAAATGGGAGGACAGGCCAAAGACTAAAAGGTGTGCCCCCTCCATTCAGAGATCCTTGTTCTGATTTTTGCTTTTTGACTAAACTTATGCTTTAAGGATCTTCAGCATCAAACACACTTCTTGAGTTTCTAATGCCTGGTTTCTTTCTGTAAACTGTGATTCCACTCTCTGGGCCACACATCACTAAAGAACACAGTAGAGAACCAGCATCAGACATCCCAGAAGGGTGTTGGTTATTGAGGATTCATAAGGTGATATTAAACACTTTCCGCAACTGATTTAATCACCAAATGCACTTTTTTTTTAATTTCTTGACTATGTTCCATGTTAATGTTAAGCTGGTGCCATGATCACTGCCACAGGTTTCCTGTTTCAGGGTGACTCTTTTTTATTGCAGTGTCCTGTGGAGTCACTCTTGCATGCAGGGACTAGAATTGTGTGTCCTTACACCATGTAAATCAATAGAAACACAGAGCCCTAGGATGTCAAGGTAGTCCCCTGCCCCTCCCACCTCCTCCAGGGTCTCTTCTCCAATATAAAAGACTGGCTGCCTTGTCTACTGTTAACTCTTTCCTATGAGGGCTGGAAATTCCCACACTGCAGGAAAGGATTTTTTGCATCTATACTGTAATTTTAAAATATGCAATATAACCCAGGATTCTATTTGGACAGTAAATTCATTCAGCATCAACATTCTCCTTCAGTACAACCACCTCTATTACAGCAGATAAGAAAACATGAACTAAATAATTTTTTAAAAACGTCAAAATGACTATTGTGATAAACATCACAATAGGGGGCTAGGTGATATCAGGAGGGCTAAACACAAACCTCTCTTGTTCCTCGAAGAGAACTGACTGAGGTCATAATGTGCACAGGCTGAATTCTTCTTTGCTTCCATTCTTGGTTTAAAATTTCAGTTCGTTCCAGAATTTTTTGCCGATTTGAATTAAACATACTCTGCAAAACAGAGTGGTTATAAATGAATAAGCAGCTCCAGACAAATAGCATGGATAACAATTTTTATCTTTATAAGCATTACAGATGTTTTAAAACAACTCTAAGCTAAAAATAATGAGCAAGCATAGTTCCAGGCAAAAAGTATGCTAGAAATCAGATCACTGAAAGAAATTATGATTGGTTACGAAGAAAACATTATATCTCACTCTTATTAACCACTTGCCCTCCAGGCATTTTTACCCCCTTTCTGCCCAGGACAATTATTGTCTTTCAACGCTGTTGCACTTTGAATGAAAATTGTGCAGTCATGCAACACTGTGCCCATATTAAGTTTTTATCATTTTTTTCAGACAAATAGAGATTTCTTTTGGTGGTATTTAATCACCACTGTTTTTTGTTTATTGTTTGCAGTATACATGAAAGAGACTGAAAATTTTGGGGGGAAAAAATGCATTTTTCTTAGTTTCTGTTATAAAATTTGGAAAATAAATAATCTTTCTACACAAATTTAGGCCAAAATGTATTCTGCTACATTTCTTTGGTGAAAATATCCCAAATCAGTGTTTGTTATTTAGTTAGTAGGAAAGTTATCGAGTTCACAAATTATGATATATATAGATAAAATAAATAAAAATCGATAAATCCTGATGTACTGACTTATTTCTTGAGGCCCAAAAACACCAGGACAGTACAAATACCCCCCAAATGACCGCTTTTCAGAAAGTAGACAGTCTGCGGTATTTAGCAAGAGGCAATGTTGAGTTTTTTTAAGCTGTCGTATTTTGACATAATTTTGTGTGACTGACCACAGCTGATCACATGCTACAGATGGGCTGTGATTGGCCCAGTCTGTACATGTGACCACTGTGACCAATCACAGCTAGCAGCACAGTTGTAAGCAATGAATGGCATGAAAGGAAGCCATTGTTTACAACTGTCATGTGATTTGCTGTGATTGGTCAAAGCGATTACATGACACTGGCAGCGGGCCAGTGTAGTGATCTGTCATCTGCTGTGACCAGTGGACACAGCAGATGACAGATTGCACTGGACCGCAACACGTGGGGGGAGCGAGGCACGATCCTGTGAGGACATCATATGATGTCCTCCCAGGATTATAGGGATCCCGCTCAGCCGTCATCCTACAATAGGTGGGTAGGAGTTAAATGAGACATGCAAATATCATGCACATACAAAAAATAGCAGATAAACAGAACCCATCAACTTTGCAAAAACTTTTCAATAGCCCCCAATAGGGGACATCATGGAAAACAGCAAGAATTGTAGCAAACTTAACTTAGGAATCACAAACTCAGAGATGCCCCTGTCCCTTAAAACCTGGGCTTCAACAGCCATGCTGGTAAAGTGAGCGACCAACACCCAGGATGGAAAATTGGCACTTGGGACAGAAGATTCTGAAGATCTGCCAGTGCAAGGAGCATCTGCAAGATATCTGACAATATCACAATATCAATATCACAGCACTCTGTACCATATGATTAGCTGTAACCAATCACAGAACCCTGCCTGCCTGCAACGGCTGCCCACTGCCCTCCCCTACCTCTGTCAGTCCAGGGAGAGAAAAGAGAACACCACAAAGCACTACATTTTACACACCCACCCACACACACGTTAGATTAGCACATTTAATCCTTTAATCACCCCCTATTAACCCTTGGATCACCCCTGTCACCTAGCCAGTGCCATTAGTACAGTTTCAGTATACAGAATTGGTCACTGATCACTGTGTTACTGCCATTAGCAACATCAGATAGCGTCAGGGTCAGTTAGCATACCTCACAGCCAGGGTCAGTTAGCGTTCGATTGCCCGGACACTATCGCACTCGCGCTATAGGTCGCTGATCACCACCATTACTAGTATAGTGTTTGTATGGATTAATACAGTCATGGCCAAAAATATTGGCATCCCTGCATTCCTCTCAGATAATCCACCACTTCTTCCAGAAAATTGTTGCAATTACAAATGTTTAGGTATTCTCATGTTTATTTAATTTGTTTGTATTGGTACGACACAAAGAAGTGGAGAAACAAAAAGCCAAATCTAACACATTCCACGCAAAACCCCAAAAATGGATTGGACAAAATTTTTGGCACCCTTAATTTAATATTTGATAGCACACCACTTGGAAAAAATGACTGAAATCAATTGCTTCCTGTAACCATCAATGACTTTCTCACACCTCTCTACTGGAATTTTGGACCATTCTTTTGCCAACTGTTCCAGGTCTCTCAGAAGGAAGGGTTCCTTTTCTCAACTGGTGTTTTGAAATCTCTCCACAGGTGCTCTGATCACGAACAGAAATATACTAGTGCCCGCTTAGCATAATGTTCCAAAAACGCAGTGTTAGCAGGATCGCCCCGTTCACTGCCAGTACTAGCATTTAGCCCCTTCTGCTGTTTTTCACAGAAGATTTGTATCACTTGATTGTGGGCCAAAGCAATTTATACGAACAGTACAACGTTGCACACCCAAATTCAGCTCTTGCCAGACAATTCGAATGGAAACCTATCACAGTTTCTGAAATTAAAACTTTTTTGTGTCTAACCCTCAACTAGGGCAATACAAAAAAGAATAAAATGCAGTCATATGGGTCCACAGACCCGATTTATCATATTGCCCATATTTTTCTCTGTTGCCATGGCCAGGCATAGATATGAGACGATAATGTGCTTCATGCATTTCAATGATAACACTCTCTTGGAAAAAAAAAAAAAAAAAAGAAAAAAAAAAAGAACATTACAATATGCAACAATGTTGGTATGTCACCGGACTTGTGGTTATACCAGGATGATACCTGCAGCTACAGGCATCATCCTGGTATCGTTATTTTTTAGTGCCATTTTTAAGCATCTGATCACACCAATCTAGGTGTGAACAAATGCTTTAAGGACAGAAGATCATCTAGAGTCTTATACTCAGAAAAGAGTACCTGTCGCTGCCTATTGCTATCACAAGGGATATTTACATTCCCTGTGATTAAAAGGGGATCAAAAAAAAAAAAAAAGGAAAATGCAGTATGAAGTGTAAAAATAATTAAAACAAAATATCACCCCATCCCCGTGCGCAAAGGTGAACGCAAGCGTTGGTCCCTTGTCGGTATGTAAAAAAAGATTGCACCATGCATGTGAGGTATCACCACGAAATTAGATCAAGGGCAGTAATTCGAGCAATAGACCTCCTGTGTAAATCTACAGGCTTTTAAAGCAACGCCTATGAATATTTAAAATTTACGTAGTTTGTCACCATTGCAGGGGCATGCGCAATTTTAAAGCATGTCATGTTTGGTATCTATTTACTCACCGTAACATCATCTTTTATATTAAATTAATTGGGCAATATATTGTGTTTTTTGCATTAAAATTCAAAAAAGTGTATTTTGTCCTAAAAATCTGCATTTGAAAAATCGTTGCAGAAATACTGTGTGAGATGAAAAAATTGCAACACCTTTTTATTCCCTTAGGCCTCTGCTTTAAAAAAATACATAATGTTTGAGGTTCAAAGTAATTTTCTAGGGAAAAGGTTTTTGTTTTTTTTTCCTGTAAACAAAAAAGTGTCAGAAAAGGCTTGGTCTTCAAGTGGTTAGAAGAGTGGGTGATGTGTGGCATAAGCGTCTAATGTTGGCACTGAAATGCCAGGATAATAGAGGTACTCCCCACAAATGATCCATTTTTGTTGGACACTCCAAGGTATTTGAAAGGGGCATGGTGAGTATTTTGCATATCTCATTTGTTGATACAAGTTTTTGGAAAATGAAGAAAAACACCATTTCTTTTTCAAAACTTGACAAAATGATATCTGTAATATACTCACCTTGCCCCTTATCAAATTCCTTGGGGTGTCTACTTTCCAAAAAAGGGGTCATTTGGGGGGAGTGTTTGTACTATCCTGGCATTTTAGGGCCTCCGAAACTGTGATAGGTAGTGAGGAAGTGACATAAGGAAATATGCCCTTTGAAAGCCTGAAGGTGGTCATTGGATTTTGGGGGCCTGTATGTGGCTAGGCTGCCAAAAAGTCTCTCACATATGGTATCCCCATACTTGGAAGAAGTAGCAGAATGCATTTTGGGGTGTTATTCCACATATACACATGGCACGTGTGAGCAATATATTATTTAAGTGACAACTTTGTGTAATTAAGATGGAAAAAAAAAAAATGTGTCATTTTCCAAAAATTTGTGGTAAATCTTCCATGGACTCAACATGCCTCAAAATTTCCAAAAAGGGTTAATTTGGTGTTTTTTGTACTGCCCTGGCATTTCAGCACCTCAAGAAATGTGGCTGCGTAAATTCCAATATATACATACACCATAATTTGTAGGTGCTATAACTTTCACACAAACTAATTGATATACACGTATTGGGATTTTTTTTTTGTTTTTTTCCCAAAGACACGTAGCCGAATACACTTTGGTCTAAATTTATGTTTAGTAAAGTTGAAAATATTGTTTTTTTTTAGTTTGCTTTTTTTCATTTATACCACATAAAATAAAAAATCCAGTGGTGATCAAATACCCCCAAAAGAAAGCTCTATTTGTGTGAAAAAAGGACAAAGATTTTGTTTGGGTACAGTGTTGCATGACCGTGCAATTACTAGTTGAAATAGCGCAGTGCCAATTAGCATAAAATGGCCTGGTCAGGAAGGGGAGAAAACCTTTTGGGGCTGATGTGGTTAATTTAAGAGCATTCATAGCTTTAATAAACTAAAACTACCTCTGACATAGGTTACAATAACGAGATCAATAAATATTATATCTTAATGTAATTTTATACATTTCCCAGCATTGTATCTTTGATCTATGTACCTTTACTTCATCCGCTCGTCTAAATCGCTTGAGCTGCCGCAAACGCATGTACTCTGACTTCACCCGCTTCCTCCAGCATACTGGTCCCTTCTCAGATTTCTTACCCGTCTGGCCCATGATTATCCTAGAGATTTAAAAAAAGAAAAACATTCATGACTTGCGTATACTCAGTCAGGATAAACACTCAACACAATATATTTAGGACATCAGATTTCCAGTGTTATACAAGAATAGTAAAGGACGTTGACCATTCGCATGCAACATTAGTAGCAATATCAGATGCCATATGATTTAGCGCATCTCACCTATAAAGCCACATGCAGATGGCTGGGTTCTCAAATATATTTTTCCATTTTGCTAGATTAGCAACAGATTGTAATGTAGACCACATTGTTTGGAGTTACAGCTATTGCCTTGTTTAACAAAGATTGTGTTTTCAATTCCAAATTATAAATGTAACTTTGCACAGCACGTTTTGCCGACTTGCAAATTAATTAATCTGCAACATCTCCAAGATAGTACGTTCCTCACCCCAGACACCACTAAACAGCTCGTACACTCCCTTATTATCTCACACCTAGACCACTGAAACTCCCTTCTCACCGGCCTACCCCAACACACGCTATCCCCGCTCCAGTCTATCCTGAACTCAGCGGCTAGACTCATCCACCTCACCAACCGCTCCACTTCTGCCACCCCCCTGCCAATCCCTTCACCGGCTCCCGATTGCCCAACGCATTAAATTCAAATTACGAACTCTGACATACAAAGCCATTCATAACGCTGCCCCAAACTACCTCACTGACCCGATACCCAAATACCACCCTACCCGTGCCCATCGCTCCTCACAAGACCTCCTATTCTCTAGCTCCCTGGTCTCCTCCTCCCACGCCCGACTGCAAGACTTCTCCAGGACTTCCCCCATCCTCTGGAACTCCCTACCCCAATCCATCAGACTGTCACCTACCCTCCTCACCTTCAGGCGCACCCTGAAAACCCATCTCTTCAGGCGAGCCTACCCCACCCTCACCTAACAGCCGTTCTCCTCCACTCCTCCTACTACTCCATCCCCCTCAGCCACTTCCTCCTGTACCTCTATACCCCCTCCCTCCTAGATTGTAAGCTCGAAAGAGCAGGGACCTCAAACCCCTCGTGTATTGTATTGCTACTGTATTGTGTCATGTACTGTCCCCCCACTCTCTACTGTACAGCGCTGAGCAAACCTTTTGGCGCTATATAAACACTGTATAATAATAATTTGTTCTAGGGTCTCTTCACATCATTTTGGCAGCAGGATATTGATCTTGATGTTAGGATGGGCCATCATACTCGTATTTTGAAAAGGGTATAAACCTGTGGTTTTGCTAGTACCAGCATGTGATTTGACTTAGCAGGTTGAAATAAAGACCGAGTCATTTTTGTTAGATTTGCAAAGGTAATGAATTCATGCAATAAAAGTTTAAAACACTCACCTGTATTGCTTTTAAATGATGGATAACATTTAATTATGAAATGGCTGTGAAATCTGTGCACTTTACTGTTGCTTAACAACACCAAATCTTCCTAGTAACATGATAAAAATTGCTCTTTGAACATAATTTTTAACCGCTGTATTTTCTGCATAAACTGTTGCAGTAATGCACAAAATGCGTGTTAGTGCACTGTGTTGAAATTTATTTTGAATTGCCCCTCTAATGCATGGTAATGCACTGTAATCCACTGTATAGGGGGAAAAAAAAAAAAAAAAGGTTTTTTTTTTTTTTTCATTGCAGTGATACACAATGGTGGTGGTACACAATTGTGCACCGCTTCACTTCTTTATCCGCTTCCCGTCCGCCCTATAGCAGTAATACTGCTACAGGGCGGCACGGCTGCGCAAAATCAAATCATATATATATATATATATATATATATATATATATATATATATATATATATATATATGTGTGTGTTAATCGCCGGGTCCTGGCCGGTGATTACTTGCCGGCACCTGGTGATCGAAGAGCATTACCGATGGAGGGAGAGAACTGTATGTAAACAATACAATTGCAAAGCAGTGTGCTTACAGTGAAGCACACAAAATTGCAAACAATACAATTGCAAACAACGCAAAGCAGTGTGCTTACAGTGAAGCACACAGTGCACAGTAAAACACACACAGTTAACCCTTTGATCGCCCCCACATATTAACCCCTTTCTGCCCAGTGCCATTAGTACAGTGTCAGTGCTTTTTATTAGCACTGATCACTGTATTGTTGTCACTAGGGATGTCAGTGACACCAAGTCAGTTCCCCCCAGTGTCAGAATGCCTGCCGCTGTCCTGCTATAAGTCGCTGGTTGCTGCCATTACTAGTAAAAATAAAAAAATAAATAAAAAAAATCCCAGTTTATATACCGCCATTTGTAAGCGCTATAACATTCACGTAAACCAATTAACTGACACGTATTGGGATTTTGTTTAGCAAAGACGTGTAGCAAAATACATTTTGGCCTAAATTTATGACAAAATTAAATTTTTTTACTGGACATGTTTAATAGTAAAAAGTCAAAAATTTAGTTTTTTTCTCAAAATTGTCAGTCTTTTTTTTTTGTAGAGAGCAAAAAATAAAACTGCACAGGCGATCAAATACCACCAAAAGAAATCTCTATTCATGGGAAAAAAGGATGTACAGTCATGGCCGAAATTGTTGGCACCCTTGATATTTCTCCAGGAAATCATGTATTTCTCACGAAACGTATTGCATTAACACATGTTTTGCTATACACATGTTTATTCCCTTTGTGTGTATTGATACAAAACAAAAAAAGGGAGGAAAGAAAGCAAATTCGACATAATGTCACACAAACCTCCAAAAATGGGCTGGACAAAAGTATTGGCACCCTTTCACAACTGCGGATAAATAAGAATGTTACAAGCATGTGATGCTCCTGTAAACTCACCTGGGGCAAGTAACAGGTGTGGGCAATATAGAAATCACACCTGAAAGCAGATAAAAAGGAGAGACGTTCACTTAACCTTTGCATTGTGTGTCTGTCTGTGCCACACTAAGCATGGACAACAGAAAGAGGAGACGAGAACTGTCTGAGGACCTGAGAACCAAAATTGTGGCAAAATATCAACAATCTCAAGGTTACAAGTCCATCTCCAGAGAACTAGATTTGCCTTTGTCCACAGTGCGCAACATTATCAAGAAGTTTGCAACCCATGGCACTGTAGCTAATCTCCCTGGTCGTGGACGGATGAGGAAAATTGATGAAAGATTGCAACGCAGAATAGTCCGGATGGTGGATAAGCAGCCCCAAACATGTTCCAAAGACATTCAAGCTGTCCTGCAGGCTCAGGGAGCATCAGTGTCAGCGCGAACTATCCGTCGACATTTAAATGAAATGAAACGCTATGGCAGGAGACCCAGGAGGACCCCACTGCTGACACAGAGACATAAAAAAGCAAGACTACAGTTTGCCAAAATGTACTTGAGTAAGCCAAAAGCCTTCTGGGAAAACGTCTTGTGGACAGATGAGACCAAGATAGAGCTTTTCGGTAAAGCACATCATTCTACTGTTTACCGAAAACGGAATGAGGCCTACAAAGAACAAAACACAGTACCTACGGTAAAATATGGTGGAGGTTCAATGATGTTTTGGGGTTGTTTTGCTGCCTCTGGCACTGGGTGCCTTGACTGTGTGCAAGGCATCATGAAATCTGAGGATTACCAAAGGATTTTGGGTCGCACTGTAGGGCCCAGTGTCAGAAAGCTGGGTTTGCGTCCAAGATCCTGGGTCTTCCAGCAGGACAATGACCCCAAACATACGTCAAAAAGCACTCAGAAATGGATGGCAAAGAAGCGCTGGAGAGTTCTGAAGTGGCCAGCAATGAGCCCAGATCTAAATCCCATTGAACACCTGTGGAGAGATCTTAAAATTGCTGTTGGGAAAAGGTGTCCTTCCAATAAGAGAGACCTGGAGCTGTTTGCAAAGGAAGAGTGGTCCAAAATTCCGGGTGAGAGGTGTCAGAAGCTTATTGATGGTTATAGGAAGCGACTGATTTCAGTTATGTTTTCCAAAGGGTGTGCAACCAAATATTAAGTTAAGGGTGCCAATACTTTTGTCCAGCCCATTTTTGGGGTTTTGTGTGACATTATGTCATATTTGCTTTTCTGCCTCTGTTTTATATTTGTTCCAATACATACAAAGGGAATAAACATGTGTATAGCAAAACATGTGTTAATGCAATACCTTTTTTGTGTGAAATACTTGATTTTCAGGAAAAATATCAAGGGTGCCAACAATTTCGGCCATGACTGTAAATTTAATTTGGGTGCAGCGTTGCATGACCGCACAATTGTCAGTTAAAGTAACGCAGCACCATAATGCAAAAAAAATGGCCTGGTCAGGAAGGGGGGTAAATCCTCTGGAGGGCAAGTGGTTATAAGACCCCTACCCACCTTCCCATTACTTAACTAGTTTTTTTCATCACATAGGGAACAACAAATCCTTGATGTGATCATTTTTTGCCGACAGGTTCTTTTTAACGAGACCCTAGATGTCTCACCTGTTCTTCTTCCCCAGCCATACAGGCTGAGGAAAGTGAAAGGGGGACCCAGAAGTGACATTTTACACATCACTTGTGGGGCAGCAAGAAGGAGTGGAGGAGAGCAAATTAATGTCTGCTTGGCTTCCCCCCTTCTATCTGGGCACACGGAGCATGGGAAACATGGTGAGGGAGTGCACGTGGAGGAGGGCAGCCATTGCCAAGGCATTTAGACGCAATCGACGGTTGCAATGTGGAATGAACAGGAAATAAAAATGACCCAAATCCCCTATCCACACATTTGGTGTGAAGAGAGGAATCCTTCCCACTCAGTCATTGTATTCTGACAGCAGAGAGCCTTCCCCAGCATCAGAATACACGGATCAATGCTGGCAGCTATAGCCAGTAGCACTGATCAAGCTAGATTGTACAACCAACCTGTCCATACATAGATCGAAAATCCCTGCTGAGCTTTGATACATGCATGGCTGTCGCAAGTGAAGCATGCCTTCCACGCCCGCTAATAGACCTGACAAGAAGTAGGCTTACTAGCATTATATGAATCACAGACTTGGAGATGCCCATT